GTGGGTGAGAAAATCAGCAAACTCAGTTAAAAAGGCACTATTCGGTTTTGGGGGGCGGTAGACAGCAGCAATGATGGTTGGAGTTGGACCAGATAGCTTGCAGACTGTGGATTCAAACGTGCTTGAAACTGGAGCTGATACCGGCGAGACTTTCCAATTCTCGCGATGAATTATCGCGAGACCTCCTCCGCGACCGGAACCACGGGGTTGAGAGATGTAAACAAACCCACTAGGAGTGGAATCGTTGAGCTGAGAGTAATCTTGGGGCTGTTGCCAGGTCTCGGTTAAGCAGAGAAAGTCCAGTTTACGGTCAGTGATGAGATCCTGAATGAGATGTCCCTTGCTTGTCAGTGAACGGATGTTGAGCAGAGCAAAGTTGAGTGCGTTGTTGTCGCAGCTGGTGGTGGTGCTAGCCGACCGAGCTAGGCGGGCTAACACGCTGTGGTCGACAGCCCGGCTGGTGGAGCATGGAGGGCGACGAATCCACCGTCGGGAGCTGGACCAGATGGATTTTATTGCTGTTGAACCGTTGCGGTGGACAATCCGACGGGAACCTCGGTGGATGTATCTCCGACGTGGCTGGAAGGTGATGTCCGGGTGAAGGTGGAGAGCCTCGGGCGCAGGTCCAAGGGAGTGACAGCGGAGCCGGAGCAGGTCAGCGGGTGAATACTGCAGCAAACCCGCCACTTGCAGGTGAGCGGGCAGTAGGAATATCCAGATACAGACAAGCAGGGTGTATGTCCTGCCGGTCCACATTATTAAAAACGCCAGGTGAGGCTGAAAACGAGGCAGGACAGGTGAGCTACTGGTAGTAGCCTAGTTGGGACTCACACAGTCCTGTAGTGCTGACGAATCGTGGTCGTATTCCCAGTAAAAACAATCCCAGTAAAAACAATTAGACTGTCCGTTAGAAAGTAAAAAAGTTTAAAAGTTACCGGTGAGCGAAGGCAGTGAGCAACGAATACAAAAATACCGGCGAGCAGCGGCAGCAAGTCGTGCCAGCGTTCACTCCCCATATTAGAGCCAGGACAGCTTCTAATCAAAGTTCTGTTTTTGGATAACAACTTTTGTTTAAAGATAAATAATTTAAGTCAACCAAAAGCCTTGATGGAGGAATCTGGTTTGAAGTTCTCCCTGCTTGGTTCTAAAACCTCTTCGATTGGTTAGAATCTGTCACAGAAATTCAGCCCGTTTAACAGATTTACTGGGATTCGTATGCAAATCCATCTCTCAGGTTTAAAGAAAATCATTATAAAAATTTCCAGTTGAGCAGTTGTTTGATTAAAAAACACCAGTTTAAAATCAGAGAACAAAGTGATACGAGATGATATTTCTTCACCCCTAAAGATATGAAAAACTGAACCTCCAACTAATGAGCTTCAGCAGCAGATGAGCACTGACTGTTGGTCGTGTTTGCTAAAAGGACAGCGAGGCTACAACACAAAGGCTCACAACTGGAAATGGTTTCAAGAATAAAGTCAATAACGTCAGTGGACGTCAATAACGACAGACATCAGCCTGACCTTTCTAAGGTAGTTCTGGAGGTAAATTGGGTCCAAACCCACCGACAGGGGTCCCTGTTTAAGTGGAAGGTGAATGAGAACAGATTAACACTCTACAATTCATCTAAATCTTTACTTCTTTTAGAGGACTTAGGTTCCAAACCTTTCCTCCAAAGTGCTCACAGACATAAGATCTATAAAATCTGATTGATCCAAAAGAAAAATTGATAATTTTTCTTATTTGAAAAAGTTTGGAAGTTAGTTGTTGTTCATTTTTAATTTTATTGTTATCAATAGGACTCGGTTTGGGTCCATCTTTCTTTTCCAAATGTTTGATGCGTTTAGCAAAGTTTAATAAATCAGTTAAATTATAATTTAGGTTTTCAGTTGATTGATATCCTGAAATCAAAACTGCTAAAGATTCTTATTAAATCACCATTTTTCCTCTGGTTGCTGCAGGGTTTCAATCAGCTCCCACTCATCGGTCAGTACAGCCTGAGGAAGCAGCCCTACAACAACCTGAAGAACAAGTTCACCTGGCTGTCTGATGCTGGACACAGACTGCTAAACCTGCTCTTCATGTACAACCCACAGCGCAGGTAACGCAGCCCAGCTTCCTCATTAATAATAGCTGCAATCATTTCCTCCACGATGAGGTTGAGATGGAAGTTGTTCTGTGTTCCTGACCCAGAGCGACCGCCAAAGATTGTCTGGAGAGCTCCTACTTCAAAGAGAAACCTCTGCGTGAGTTCAATACTCTACAGCGTTTATGGTGGCCTCTGACGTGCGTCTAACCAAACGGCTTCTCCTGTTTCAGCCTGTGAGCCGGAGCTGATGCCGACGTTCCCGCACCATCGAAACAAGCGAGCGGCTCCTCCGCCTGAGAGTGCCTCCAAGAAGAGGAGGAGCAAAGTCTGAGGAGGAGACGGAGCGCCCCCTGGTGGGGAGCTTCACCACTCCATGCCACACTGTGAGAAAGGAAGACTGTTAACGATGCTTTGTGAAGTTTAAAAACGTTGTTTTCACTGAGAGACAAAGACGCAGCGCAGGTCTGATCATCAAACCGCTACATGGTGAGGATGGTTTGTTTTATATGCGGAAATAGAGTTTATCCTTACTGCTTCTGCTTTCTCATTTTGGGATTTTTACCAGCTCCTCAGAGACTCTACAGGCCTAAATGAGATTACATGAATGTTCAAATCAACATTCAGGATAAGAAGTTTTAACATTAAACCATAGCCTGCTTGCTTCAATGCAATCAGGAGGAAACTGGTCGGTCTGCTCTAACTGTAACTGAACGTCTTTGATTGTACAAACGCCTTTTGTTTTTCCTCTGTGAAAACAGTCTGTATTGTACAGTAGTGCTTTAATAGCATGGTGTAAATCAATGGTGTAAAGTTTTACAAATTTTAGTGTAAACCGACTTCGTATCCTGGGAGAGAAACACCGGGAGGCATCATTGGTGTTGCATGTTTCAGTAAAAATGTCATCACTATGAACGTCATCTCCTTCTTCTTTTATACGTCATAAATGTTTAAACTGGATAGAAAAAAATTGAAAGATCTATTATAATGTGAGAAAACTCCGAATTTCAGCCCAGTTTGACCTCTAGGTAGCAGCTGCCTTGATTTCTTTTTAACAGTTGCTAGCTATGTGCTAGCTATATTGACTGAACACACATTAAACTTGAGATGCAACAAAACAAACTTTTTGGTTGCTGAATAAAATTGCCCAATAGTTTTATTATTTCCAATGCCGAAATGTAAAACGAATTAAAAGACAGGTTGGGTTGCTCTGATTTGCTGTCAGACTATTTCCTTTCATACCAGAGGGTTCAAAGGTTTCAGAGTCCTATACATCTCTCAAGGCTGAAATGAAGCTTTTAATTCATCTTTTTCTAAGCTCTGAATATGACCTGTTTTCATAGAGGTTAAAGGGAGAAATATTTGCTGTGGTCCAAAAAAAGAACATGGAAACTAAGAGAATGACTGGCTGAATGCATTCATGGTCGGTCAGAATAATGACCTTAGACTGGCTGATTAATGAATGATCAGGGGACAGATGATCCATGGGCTCAGAGGTGGGAGTAGTGATGGGTCCAGCAACACCGATGTATTGCCGCATGCATAGAGGCAGACCAAGTATCGGTGCGCATTTCACTTCAAGAAAGTCACATGAAATAAACGGCGCATCTGTCAACAGATGAATCTTTGGGAAGAATCTGATCTTTCGTGGTTCGTCATGGAATTCATAAATTATTGAGCACCCTCAAGGTAAAAAGGTTACAGCCATGTGGGACATTATGATCTCATTTGTTTAATTTTCTTGTTGAATCACTCTGTTCCTCTCAGGCTGAATCTCTAACCGCCCCCTAAGCACTAAACCTGAACTAGCAGACTCGTTATTTAAGGGCTGGACGGTCCGCTCGCCCTACCCACTTCATGGTTTGGGACGACTTAATTTGATGGATCCTCTGCAGGAACGGGCAAATGGAGGATTAGTGCTCAGGGTTAGCACTTAGTTGGTTGGTTTGGGCCTGTTATAACTCGACTTAGCTGAATTGAAATTAAAACTGATGCTTAGTTCAGTTTTTACTATACTTGTTTTATATCGTTTTTTGTTTTCTAGTCCTAATTCACACGTTCATATTATGGACTGCATCTAAATATATCAAAGATATTTTCAATTTACAGTATAAAGTACCGTACAATAACTGAAATCATAGGTCATCTAGTCATTTTAGTCTGCCTGTAAGGCTTTTAATGGTCCAGCAGGTGTCAGTATTGAGTTGCCGCCTCAACCCATCACTGGGTGGAAGTATACAGAGGCAGAGATAAATGAAGTGCTGAATTTAATGTTCATAAATAAAATTAATTTAATTTCTAAACCAATTTTGATTTAGCTGGAAATGTAATTGTAAAATTGTGAATGTTGTAATTTATAATATTTCAATTATTCAATAAATGGAAAAAATGTTTAGTTATTCAACACAATATACCGTAATTAGGTTTCATGAAGTATTTTGACCCTTCATATAGCTCAGGCATCGCATCATGGTAATAAAAGACGACTTGTTACCCTCCATTTGGTGTCTCCTGAGCCCAGTTTGGGAACCTGTTCTAAAGGCTGGGTTGAAAGATGGGCGTAAAGGCTGGTTTTCTGATAAATAGCTGAAGACAGATGGACGAAAAAACATTTTAAATTAATTTTGTAGCTTATTTTCTGTGTGTTGATGAGCAACTTTAGAGTTTAGCTTTATTGGCCGAAATGCTCATGAAAAAGGTGTCATTTCCAGGCAGCAGATGTTAGAAGGTCAAATCTCAATTTTCTGTCTTTTCTATGCAAAGTTTGTGGAGAAACAAAGCTGATTTAGGTAAATCCTTCTTGTTCTACGATCCTTCCTTCCCGCAAAAACCAAAAACAATGAACTGGTGGATTTATGTAGAAAGAAAAATGTTCATGCGTCCCAAAAACATTAAACCATCAGAGGTACGAGTGTTGGATCTTTTGAAATGTCCGTTTTTATTAACTCTGGTTAAATTATTAGTAGTAATGGATACACAGCCAGCAGCAGGTTAGATCCCCACACAGGGACTTCATCAGCTAAGCTCCCAGAGGAAACTTGGAGGAACACAGAGCTGGACCACTGTAGCACTGAGTTATTGATTCACAAGTCTCAGACGTCGTCGCAGACGTCCAGCAGCTCTCCTTACAATCAGATGGCTGAAAACAAAACTATACAAGAGCATCAGCATCTGAAGGGAAGGTTGGTGGGAATATTTTCTTCCCAACAAAAAAAAAAAAAAAAAATACAGGACTTCCTTTCACCGGAGCTTAATCAGCAAGAAAGGTAATACTCTGTAAACATACTCTGCATCTCCACTGGTTACACACAGGAAGTGACTAATGCTTTATAAATAAGGTTGTGTGACAGACGGAACTACGTGTGCAGGAGGAACCAAGAGATGTGCCGGACCGAGCGTCCTTTGGGTTTTAACAGACTGGAACGCAAATGAAACCAAAGCACATAATAAATGAATTATTTGCTTGCAATTAGCTGCAAACAATTTGTAGTGTCTTTATCTGATGACACCTGTAAAATATTTTAAAAAATTAAAATTTTTTGGTAGGATATCATCTAATTCAGAGTGATCATCATTGCATCTGCACCTGTATTTTTTCTGTCTGTTACTTACTTGCTATAATTGGCATCAGAAATCAGTATCTGCCAGAAAAAGTCGATTTAGTTGAAAAAAGAGGACTCTTTTAACGGCAAAAAAAAAATAATAATAATTTAGAAGTGATTTTTCCTTTTTTTTGATTAAATGAGAACTGATAAAAGCTGCTGGCAGAAAACTGTTTGCTTTTGCTGTAATTCTTCCATTGTTGATGCTAATAAGCATTTTTATCATTTGTTTTTTAAATAATTCGATTTTTTTGCAACATAATGAAGGAAAAACCAGATAATGTTCCTACTTTTCCTCGTTCCTTTCAGCCAGGCACATCTCTCCTGTTGGAAAACACTTCAGGCAGATTGCTACCAACTTGCACGCCTGATGCAGACGCTCAACATTAAATAAGACAACAACAGCCTCCTGACATTTCAACACAAACATTAAGACAGGCACGCTCAATAATAAAAACACTGATGCATTCACACGCTCACACGCCTGGGGGAAACTTCAACTTCTGTTTCACCTTCAGCCATCAGGGTCCTTGGTGTGGATCCGAATCAAAGTGCACGACAGCAACGAAACGTAGGGTCCTTCAGTCGGAGAGAGAAGGGGCTCAGATCGGGGGACTTGGAGGGATTCCTCATGTAAAACGCAGCAGTTCATGTAGTGGAGATTCTGCAAGGCTACGTCATCAGCAATGAGGGCGAAACACAGGAGATCTATAGAGTCCAACTACAGAAAAATCACACTAAGACGTTTCTAATGTGGCATTTGGTAAACGTCCTTCAGATATTCTAAAACCTCGGCCCGGTTTAGCAAACATCGGACTACAAGGTTTATTGTTTTACATCCATGAGAGACAATAAAACCAGGAGCCCAGCTGAGAGATGAATGCTGACGCAGCGGTGAGGAGGGTGAGGAAGAGGAGGAGGGAGAAGAGTGTCGTTACTGGGAGCGGGTGGAGGGGAGGGGGATCAACCCTCCATCCCAAAGTCCTCTGTGAACTTCTTCACCTTGATCAGGTCCTCGGTGTTGACAGTGGGCCGCGTGGTGGACAGGGAGCGCAGCATGTCCAACTGCAGAGGGACAGAAAACCTTTTACTGGAAAGAAACAATCTAAAGGAAATAAAACATCTGATCACTTTTTTGGATTTCAATCATTTAAGACGAATTAAGCTCATCAGGTCAGTATTAATTTCTATGCATCCCAGGTCATGGAAATAAGGGGTTAGATCACTTTTGCAATCAAAATACAACGGTTGTGCAATTAAGTAAAACTCCTGTGTGAAGAAAAGATAAAGAAGCTTTCACTGTAAAAATAGGATTTTATTATCATCAAGAAAACCTAGAAAAATGGTTAATATTACAAGCTTTACTTTATAAGTTTAATGATGGAAATAAAGAATAAATGATTTTCTACTTTACTGAAATAAACCTGCAATTGTTTAACCCTTTATTGCCACCACTGCAGCAAACAATGCAACATGGGGAGATCAAACACAGAGTGTAAAGGCTTCATTTAATACCTTAAGTTATCATATGAGTGTGAAATGTGAAAATTCGGTGACTTAGAGGTAAAAAAAAAGTTTAAAAAAATCCAATTTAAAAAGCAAATAAGCCAAGTTTAAAAGTAAATAAATTCAGTTTCTGTATCTTCTGGGGGTTAGGCTGCCTCTTTCCCACATTTCTTATAAAATTAAACTTCGCTTTTTGGTCATTATTACAAAGAATTAAAGGTTAGAAAAGTAATGAGGTCTTGTTCTGTCCTCTAGTCACACTCCTGACTTGTCATTTTGACTTTCACAGTATTTCACCGAGTGCTCTATGAAGCCTTAAAGCTGCATACCTGCAGAAATATTTCATCTTAAGTTTTTAGGAACTAAATGATAATTCACTAATTTCCATCTCCTTATGGTTTAAATGAAGCAAAAAAAATCAACAGTTTTCACAGTAATGATTACTTTGAAGGAGCTAGATTATGTTCAGGAGTGATGCCAGATTGGGCAGGTTTATTGAGATTAACATTATTTTGAACACTTCTCACTGGGAAAAAGAGCGTTAGGTGGGTCACCTTTTTTTTTCCTAAGCAGTTTAGAAAGTATCCAAAGGAAGTTTTATTTTCCCTCAGATACATTGTGACATTATTAAAAACTATTGCCTTCATTGGTCCAAAGATTTTTCTCTTGTCACTTAGAGGATCATTCCTCTGAAACTGAATTAAAAATCCTCTCCTTCAAATAATTTCGCTGGGACAGAGAAGATATGAGCATCATTCATTTAAAAGCAATATGGAACAGTGTCAGAGGTTAAAAATGATGCCCAGTTGAAGAAAATAATCTGGTTCAATTTTAAAAAGTTTAAATGGTTCAGAAATCAACCTTCTGATGATGATCCTGGGCTAAACTAGCTATTTTTTCTCTAGGCTTCCTGTAAAACGGAGGAGCTATTGAGAGGTAATGAAACCAGCAGATTACAGGCACTTTGAAGACATACAGGTTTTTTTTTAAGGCTGATGCTGATTATTTTGACATCAGTGGAACTGGTCCAGAAGTCCTGCCGTTTTTCTTTCACCATTTACATGATAAAAACGACAATGATAACAATGTTAAACACATTTCAATTTAAACATTTATCAACAAATTAAACAAAACATTAGCAAAGGATAAATGCCTGCGGTGCACGGCTGCTGAATGCTCTGATGAACTGCCAAAGACACGGACATATTGACATGAAACATAACTATCTGCCAGCAGACGTGTTGCTCTATCTGTTGAAGGTATGTTTACCTTAGGAAACATCTGCAGTTGTTAAACCATCAGAGTTCTAATAATGGTTTTCTAATGGAGCTAAAAGTGAGGATGAAGCCATTGAAAACAGAGGAAATTCGCCTCAGTTTTATGATGAAGATGAATAACTAAGCTGAATGTGAAAGTCTGCCAAACCTAAGCCCCAGTTACTACCCTTTTGTAACCGTGCCGCGATCGGTCCGAGCACGGTAACTGAGATAACTATTGACACAACCGAACCGCTCTAAACTGGTACTAGATCATCAGTAGGGCTCGGCACGGTTCAGTTCAGGCTCAGTTCTCAGATAACAAAGAGCGCAGGAGCACACCACATCATCTGTTTACAGTCAGCCTCCGTAATCACGAATTTGCATTCATAAAAATACTAGTTGCCTACCGAGCCACATGATTCCCAGTGATGATTCTGCTTAGCAGTGCGATAAACTTTAACATCTGTCATTGTTTCCTGGGTCTGTAAGCCTTGATTAGACTATCCTTTGTTGTATCTACTTCCCAAAAGCAGACAATGTCACATAAATCCACCAAAGGCTGCCTTCTTTGCCTGACTCTCTGCAAACAATAAAATATTACAATTCTAACCAAACTTCCTGAACTTTAATGGTGCCGCCATGTTGATTTGCTTGTTTCCCTCTAGAGCAGTAGTACCGTAGAATGTCACTAGGAGGCGAGGAGTGGCGTGGTGTGTAAAAGGTCGTAAGGAACCGAGCTAGGCACCGTTATCTGATCCCAGCTCGGTCAGGACTCGGTGCGGATCGGTTTTCAGAGGGTCGTGTAAAATGTGTCTCTAATGTTTAGAGATGAGAATCCAGCAGCCGAGGTTTGCTGGATTCTGCTTGTTTTATCTCACCATGCAAACTATAGGCTCCAGCAGCTTATCGCTTGGCACATCCATCCATGTCATCTCTATGGCTGCAGGGTCTCCAGGGGAACACGGGGTCAAGAGGTCGTCCACCATCACCTGATTGTTGCTTCTGGATGGACCACGAACCTGCAGGGAAACAAGATGCTTCTTTTCAGAGCGGAAAACAACGAGCAGCTTCTGACTGGACATCTAAACTATACCTAGAAGGTCGGAAAAATTTGATTTTTTATCAGAGACAAGTGTGAGAGCCTCTTTTGTACCTTTTTAAAGTGAGTGGCTGACTGGACCTTCCTGACCGGCTGCATGAGAGCGTCCCGTACGATAATGCTGATATCTGCGCCGGAGTAGCCATCCGTTTTGTGCGCCAGCTCCCGCAGGTCGCCGTCGCTCAGGCTGTGTGGCGTGTTGCCAAGATGAAGTCGAAACATCTGGGCTCGGGCCGGCTCCTCCGGAAGAGGGATGTAAATCCTCTTCTCAAATCTGACGCCAAAGAAGAGACGTTTAGCAGGATGTTCAGCAGCTGAAAGGAAATCCTTTTTTCTGACACTTTGAAAACAAACTTAACACAAAATCAAGCAGTGATGCCTTAGATCAGCAGTGATATCATCTAAGGCATTATGATGAAAACTACATGAAAAATGAAGCAGCTCCAGAACCAAAATACACGAGAGGAAACTGGAGGATTTCTTCAGCATCACTGATGCTTAGATTAACAGCGCTCCTGGAGGTTTCAGTTTTCTGGTCAATTAATGTCAGAGTTTTTTTTCAGACAGAAATAAAAAGAACAAAATAGAAATAGCTCAAAATTAGCCAAAAAAAAAAATTGACAACGGATCATAACGCAGCCAACAACATGCCTCACTTGGTATGATGATAATTCTGTTCAAAGCATGGCATTTCTATTGCAAAATACATTAATAGAAATTATTTTTAAATATTAATATTTTATTTTAATATTAATATTTTAAATAATATTTTATTAAGTCTCAGAGGAGAGCTCATTGAAATCCATCCAAACTGATAAGGTTGAAAGATGTAATAGATTTAAAAGTTGTTTTAATTAACTTCAGGATTTGCTCATATAATTATAATTATTTTTTTTTTTACCTAAATAGTTGTTTTTTTGTTGTTTTTTTTTACTGTAAGTTTCATGCTAAAGAAAATATTTCATATTACATCCTGAAGAAGATTTGAAATTATTTATAATTTATACCGTATTTTCACGACCATAAGGCGCACCGGACTAAAAGGCGCACTCTCAGTTATGTGTCCCATTTCTGTATTTAACACACACATAAGGCGCACCGGACTATAGGGCGCGTTTTTTATATACAGGTACATGTCCTCTACTACCTTTAAATACCTCTACTGCGTATTTAAAAATACAGCGGGGGCAAAACTGAGTATGACTGTGCTTTATTCATGTATTTATTACAAAGTATTAATCAAACCTGGCAGCTGGCCGTGAGACAGACACATCGCAGATGACACAGCGCTGTGATCACTCCTAAATTAACTTAAAATCCTGAAACCTGCCGACGGAATATGTTCGCTTTTATTACCGGTATCCTGGTACCTGCAGTTAAAATTATTTAGATGAAAAACACCTGCAAGCAGCCGCGGTGAACGAAAGGATTTCTCCTGTCGGCGCACCGCTGGTATGTGGGGGTCTGAGCGCCTCCGACAGAAATAGATAATCTGGATGAACTGACTGCAATTATTAAGTTTTCAGGTGGACTTTCTCACTTAAAAACATATTAAAACTACTTTATTCCCACTGATCACAGCAAATATAGCTGCAAGATTTAGATTATTTAGATGAAAAAACACCTGCCAGCCACCGCGCTGAAGAGGAGGAGACGCGCCCAGAGGCTGCTGTTGAATTAAGTTTTCAGGTAGAAAAATAGAGCGGGAGCAAAACTGAGTATGATTGTGCTTTATTCATGTATTTATTACAAAGTATTAATCGAACCCATCAAAGTCATCATCCTCTGTTTCTGAATAAAACAGCTGCGCTAAATCAGACATGCCAGTTTCCCCTTCTGCGCTGTCAGTCACTTTCCGTGCAGCGCAGCTCCTCAGAAATAATGCCGGCTTTTGCGAAAGCTTGAACAACAGAGCCAGCAGACACGTTAGTCCATCTACAATCCATCCGCAAACTGTGGCGTAATCTGCCCGGCGCTGCCTTCCACTTATCCTGAAACTGTGGTCTCCGTCTGTCATCCATCGCTCCCACGCCGCTCGCAGCCTTACTTTGAACGGCCGCTCCACACCGATGTCGAGCGGTTGAAGTTCCTTTGTCAGACCCCCGAGATAACGGCGAGCACAGCGTTCATTTGATTCATCTTTTTTTCACATCGGCTGTGAGATGGGCACGCAGCGATGGTGATGCGTGGAAAAAACCACCTGGTCTCCTTACATACACCTGCCTTTCATCATCTCCTCATTCATCCAGCCTTTTTCATTTGCGTTAATATCATATGTCATCAGAGCGCTGTCTGTCTCGCTGTCAGCTCCCAGATCAGCTTCTCTGATTGGTTGATGCGGCGCGTCCAGCAGCAAAACTTCAATTTTTCCATCTGAGCAGCAGCAGCGCGTTGGCGGTGCGTCAGATGCTTAAACGCTTCCGACGTGCTGCACCAAAACGCGCTGCAGGACCTTTTGCTGCACCTATATGCGCGTCAACCATTGACTTTGCATGTAAACTCGCTGCTTCTGCTGCACCTGCTGGGTCCGGTTCACACCGATGTCGAGCAGCGTTAATTTGTTTCCCCATGTTTTTCACATCAGCTGTGAGATGGGCACGCATGGAGTTACATATTAACAGCGATGGTGAGGGGTGGAAAAAAAACACCTGGTCTCCTTACATTCAGCCACTCTTTCATCATCTCCTCAATGAGGTGGTCTCAAAAGTCGCAGTTACAACACACATAAGGCGCACCGCACCATAGGGCGCACCGCACATTTTGAGGGGAAAAAAAAGACGTTTAAGTGCGCCTTATAGTCGTGAAAATACGGTAATAGCCTGTAATAATACAGGCTATAATACCCTGTCATTTTATACAGGGCTTTGTAAAGTTTAGATATCCACTTTTATTAGGATCATTTATGTCACTAAATGTTTTTAATCCCTTATATTTATATATCATTGCATTATTCAGTATATCTGTTCCTGTACTCTTAGTTTCTCTCCATAATCTCTGACTAAAAGAATATAATTGTAATAAACACAAACCGCTGGTAATAATAATAATAATAATAATAATAATAATAATAATAATAATAATAATAATAATGACCAAACTGTAAAAAACACAGCGGAACATAAAGCAACAATAATATTGAGGTAATCAAACTTCTAACCTTCTACGAATGGCAGCATCAAGCACCCAGGGGATGTTGGTGGCTCCAAGCACCAAAATACCATCGTTATCGTTTCCCACTCCTACACAAACAACCAGCTGCAGTTAAAATCTGAACAGGCTCTTTATCTCAGACAATATGATGTTAAAGGTGTTTTGTAACTGAAACTTCTAACTGCTGTAATGAAAGGTGTGGAGCTGAAGGTCTAAAGGATGATTAAAAACATCCATCAGACCGACCTTGCATCTGGACCAGAAACTCTGTCTTTATGCGGCGCGCCGCCTCGCTCTCGTTCTCGTTCCTCGAGCCGCACAGGGAGTCCACCTCATCGATGAATATGATGGAGGGTTTGTGTTGGCGAGCCAAATCGAACAGGTTCTTCACCAGTCTGACGAAGACAAACAAATATTTTGCACTTGCTAAAAAAGTCCTAAAGATGCTGCGTCAGACAGCAGCTGTTCCTGCAGCACAAACCGTACTTCTCACTCTCTCCCAGCCACTTGGACATGAGATCTGAGGAGGACACGGAGAAGAAGGTGGAGTTGTTGGCTTCGGTGGCTACCGCCTTGGCAAGGTAGGACTTTCCCGTCCCTGGGGGGCCGAACAACAGGATGCCCCTCCAAGGAGTCCGCTTCCCTGAGAGCAAAGATATGCAGCAGTGAAGTCAGCCGTTCTGACGACGAAACGATGACAGCTATGACTGTGGCTGACAATCCAATGAACATTTATAGTGGTTGCTATGGAAACATTCTAAGGATGCTGCGTTTAATGGCAGGGGGAAGATCAAACGGTACCTGTGAAAAGGTGAGGGAATTTGATGGGCAGGATGACGGCTTCCTTCAAAGCTTCCTTTGCTCCCTCCAGTCCAGCCACGTCGTTCCACCTGACGTTGGGCTTCTCCATCACGATGGCACCTAAAACCAGAACACCGTGAACAGGAAGCACCTGGAGACGCACAGGCTACATAGCTATGAGCCATTTAAGCTAACATATACTCAACCTAAAATCTGTTTTTTTTAAAAACAGATTTAATGATCCCCAGTAGGGAATCCAGGTGCTCCAGCGACAAAAGGAAACACAAATGTAACTTAAAAACATATTTAGGAATAAAATAGGATGGTAAGACTAACGGTATAAAAAAAACTGCAATAAAATCAGGGATTTAAAAAAAATGATAGAGTTTGTTGGGAGCAGTGAAGGTTCTAAAGTCTAACAGAGTCTGCGTTAACGCTCCTTTGAGCTCCTATGGTGCAGCAGAGATCTCTCCAGGTCTTCAACAGACATCCTCCACCAGTGATGTTATTTTCCTTATCGCCCTTATGTCTCCCACAATCTGCATCCAGGGACAAAGCCAGTCTTAGCAGGACTCTGGAAAACTGTTTACTGAGGCAGTCATTCAGCCATTTGACTGAGGTGTGTGGAAGCAGAGGCACATCTAAAAGGTTCAGAGTCTCTGGGCCCGGTTTAAAATAGCCTCCTTTTCCACGTTTTTCAGACATTTCAGTCCAATTTAACTTCATTTGAAAGTATAACTTCCTTCAATATAACCTCTAAGCAACCCAGACTGTAAGAATTGATTGAGATGGTGGATAAAATACTTTGATAAACTTCACAGATTTCCCTCTGAGAATCACCTCTCTGCCTCAGTCACCATATAAACGGTCCCACAGCATTTATTGCTGCGTTTTCATTTAGATGTAGATCTCATTCTTTTTTTTAATATGAACATTCTCTATCTGTTCTGGTTTGAGATGCTGCACAGACTCAAGTGGGGCTTTGCTTTATAGAATGCACCAATGTTTGTTTATAACTTTTCATAATATGTCCAAGGCAAACATAGGAAATTGCTCTGATTTGTATAACACGCAGAAACAGCAGTGAAAAAAAACCCTGCACAGATCTGGTCACCCTGCCGAGTCGGGGCCTCTTTACACAGTCAGTGTAACATGGGAAAAAAATTGGATCGGAGATTAAACAGTCGTACGCAACCGGTGTGTTCAGGCCTTAACTTTGTAAACTATACAGGAGCTCTATTCAGTCTGCTGGACTTCAGAGAATTGCTCATTTCTGCATTTCTCATGGAGGCCTATCCTGGACAAAGCAGCCGAGTTAAGTCAAAGGAAAAATGGGTGAAATGTTCAAAAAGGTAATTAAATAAATCAGAATTTATTTTAACAAACTGTGACGCCAATAAAAGCTTTAACTCAAAGTGTATCCATTAAATATTATGATGATAACCTTTGATAATTTCAGTTGCCTGAACTTGTGCAATTAGGTACAAAAACAAACAACGATACAGTTCATTTTTAACATTGCCGCAAAAAAAAAAAAAAAAAAAAAACATATAAACTTTAAAAAACAGTGAGCTTTGATCATTTTAAGGAATCGCTTTAATGGGAGTTCGAGGTGATCTGAAATGTCCATGCGTGCAGCTCTATGAGCCTCTATGAGGCCTCGGTTGCCAAGTCCAACATTTAAAGGCTGAATTCAGTCAATGAAACAAAGGTTGATACCAGGAAGGCAGTTGTACTTTTACACATAAACAGAATGTAATTCTAAAGCTAATAAATAAATAAAACCAAAAACTATTTTTTTCTTCCATCCATGTTATCATAATAATAAAAAAGCACAGAAACACTGAGGGATGGGAGGCCGTCTGGATTTGAGGTAACAGATCAAATTTTCTGGCAGTTAACTGACCCATAAGTTGTTCTTGTAGTTTCTTCTTCTCTGGGTTTTCCCCCTCGCTGTCGCTGTCACTCCTTAAAACAAAAACAAGCAGGAATTACATTCACCTCAAAGCCTGTTCACAGTTACAGCACCTTGTTAAGGTATTGGTAGCCCTTTAACGTCTCCACAATCTTTAATGTGCTATGTGTGGACTTCTAAGTCACTCAAAGCTCTGTGTGAAATGGAAGAAAATGATTCATGTGTTTTAAGCTTTTTCCAAACAAAAATCTAAATATGTTGCATGCATTTGTTGTTAGTCGTCTCATTCAACGCTGTATAGCAGAGGTTCCCAAAATTTACATCTTCCAACCCACAAAATGTTTCCAGACTCCACCCATGATCCCTGCTAATGGTTGAACATGCAAAGATTTCTACATCATCTACTAACCACAACAGCGACAATCAAAGTATTTGGTTTTGTCCATTTTGAAACATTTCTAAGATATAAAGATATATACCGTAAGCTTCCTAATTCGTCTGCTCAAAACAGCTGACGCTTTATCACAATAGATTAATAGAGTGTAAAGGTCAGTTTTAAGGAATTGGTCTGTACTGTGATCAGGCCGTTCCAACACATGGATGCATAGTTCCAGGGGAATGTTTAGGGTCTTTTCCTGCTGGGAGGGGAACCTCCAATAGCCTCAACTGAGCTGTTTAAATACCCATTTTCTTCTCACCACCTGAGCAGCATCAGGCTGCAATCACCATGTTTTAACATGGGAGCCGCTGTGCTTCGGATGGAGTCTTCATTTTCATTAATTTGGTTTCATCTGGACTCCATCCGCGTTCACTGTGACCCTAAACTAACTTCCTGGGTTTTTTTTTCTCCTCTCATTAATGACTTTCCACAGATTCCCCCACGCTCCCCCCAGATTCGCCTTATAATGTTGGTCATCTATCTTTTAAAATGCTTGAACAAAAATCTGTTTTACCATCTGACTCGGCTTTAAATTTCCTCACAGCTTCCTTCCTGATATGTCTTCAGTTTTCAATGGTAAATTTCTTTTTGCCTCTCACGTAAAACCCTGATAAAGTACAAAGTTTTGTGGTTGTAACAAAATGATATTTTTGTACAAACAGACGCTTTATGGAGACATAAACACCATACTTGTCATTGCTCTGAGCCTCCTTGACGGGCTTCTTGCCCTGTTTGTCTTTATTCTTCAGATAGTCCTTCAGTTTCTCCGCTCTGTCCAGGTACTGCATACACTTGGCTCGTATGCTCTCCTTGGCCTTGTCGCTGTGGGCCTCGTCTGGACGCCATGAACACATCACACAGAGACGTCAGTGAAACAACACCCCTCCCTCCAGAAACCAGAACGCTGTCAGGATGCAATACTCACATTTGATGGCATGCAGGAAGTATTCGACAGCATGCTGGTACAATCGCAGAGCCTCCTCATAGTTCTTTGCTTTGTCCTCCTCTGTGGCTTTGGTGACGAGATCAATCGCTTTCTGAAGCAGATAGAGGATAAATATGGATCGTTTCCAGTTTAAACTGTTAACACTTGATCTTAACCTACTTCTCTACTTCTAATCTTCAAAACATCTTACTTTAACAGCCTATTTCTACTTTGGCTCTCATCTTCGTTTGAGCCTCTTAACTTATATAGAATATGAGTAACAATGATTCTTGATCAAACTAAATCATTTTGATTATTTCTCTTTTTAGTAGACCATGAGAAATGTTCTTAACCAAACTGAAGTCCTTGCTTTACATGTTTCCTGAGTGACTGCTAGGTGCTACATTCAACAGCAGAGCTTATTAGCTGTAAACAAGTCAGGAATATCTGGAACATAGAGGGTACCAACTTCCTGACGACCAGAACTTCAAAACAAAGTTTTATACATTCAGTTTATTCATTTAATTTCCTCTGATATGTCATGAGTAAGCTTAGATGGTGCATATAAGTGGCAGCAAAAATGGTTGGACCATTAATTCGTTAAAAAATCAGTTATTTAAATCTTTAGTCTGTGATGGTCACATGTTTAAAAATTGAGACCTTTTCACGGACGCTGTCCTTGTTCTTCCATTGCTTAGAAATTCATCATTTCATCACTTTGTTCTTAGATGTCTCCTTATATCTATAAAAGCTAAACCATCTCTGTGTGAAACCATGAGCTGCAAACATTTAGTGGGTTTTATTTTGGTTGTCCTGAAACATGATTATTTTACAAGCATGTTTTAAAGCTTGACCTTTAATTTAGGGTCACCTCTTAAATGGGATGTTGGAAATAAAAACTAGTTTTTGAAAGCATTATGGGTCTTTTTTTTCCTCCATTCTTTATGAGTCTCTTAAAGTTCAGGTCTGAGTCCATCGCTACACACAGATTTAGAGGCTGATTGTGGGTTTCTATGAGTTACCTTTAACCCTTCATAGGGCAAGTTACCATTTTTGATCACTTGCATACCCCACAAATCTAGTCCCCACCGTCTCTCAGTGAGGTCTAGAAGCACAAGATCTATATCCAGCAGTTCAGCAAAGATACTGCTACATGGCTAGGTAAAAAGGGTAAAAAGCTAATTGAAAAGTTAATAAGTTAATAAGCCTAGCTAACAATTATATTTAGGTTTGCAAACTAAAGAAATGTAAGCCAGTATCAGCATTAATGCCTCTAAGATTATGTTGTACAAAAAAACATGTTTCTTTCACTCTCAGTGTTTTTAATGAATTTCTTGTAGAATCACTTTTTTTGTTTTTCTTAATATATTTGTTATTGACATTAATTTTTGCCATCAATTTTTTTTAAGCTTACAAAGGTAATACGTTGTTGTCCTGGATTCCAATAACAGTATTGGCTTGAAATTTTGATTTTCAAAGTTATTTCACTGAGTGCCCTATAAAGGGTTAAAATGTATATATTTTAGTGCAAAACTATAACTGCAGTTTTGTTTTGTTTTAGCTGAATAATATGGCAGATCCACTCTTATTTCCTCTCTGCATCCACCAGCCACTTGAATGAGCTCATAGTCACATGTTGCCATGTGACTATAAACCTATTGCAATAATGTCTAATAATACCAATAGATCAGCTGAAATGTGTGCTGTGTTTGAAACCAGCGACTGCGTACTCCAAAGACCAGAATCGTTGGCTGATTATGTCTTAGCGCAGCGCTGTGGGCTGTCCGAATCCAAAGACTCTTTCGTATGCGGCCAACGAATGCCGCCTCCCCCAAAAAATTTAAGGATAGGTCTCATGTATCCTTCGTAGACCACCCTATCCCATGATTCATTGTGAATCGAAGCAAGACGGCTGCTCCGTGCTCAGAGGAAAAAGGTAAATAGCACCGAACAGTGGTGAATATTGTAAGTGTAGTTTTAAATAAGTATGTGAATAGTTCAGTCTAAAATTAATGAAAATAGTTGTTTTAAATAGTTATTAAGTCAGATATGTGGCAGGTAATGTTTGGTTTATTGATTTTTATCTGTCCATGTGCAAATGGGTTTGGCTGATATTTGAGGACACATTGTAATAAATCTGCAGTGCCTGAGATATTGGTTCAACGACGACAGTACTGCTGCTGAAGCTCCTCAGAAATTAAATTAGCAAACAGAACAGTAGCGAGAAGTTCAGCATCCATTTTTTGCCTGTTTTGTACGTCAGCCATCACAGTTGCTACAGAGCATACAGTGAGTGAGAGGCAGTGGAGAAGGCTGGACCTGTTCGGATCAACAGCCAAATTCTTCCGGTCTCCTTATTTCCATGGCCTTCGAAGGACACAGCTGCCGGATTTCGAACAGGACCACAAAGTCACTTCTTTCCATTTTTCTTCATCCTAAATGCTGAGTTTGAATTACCGGTAAGCAGCTGCGTCCTCCAAATGCCAGGGTCATCTAAAGATTGTATCATAGCGCGGCGCCGAGGCCTGTCCGGAATGCAAGACTCCTCGTTATGCGGTCGACAAATAAATCCTTCTTTTTGCCCTTTCTGAAGGATGGGTCTGGTGTATCCTACGTAGTCTTGGGTATCCCATGAATCATTGCGAGTCCAAGCAAGATCACACGTAGAAGGTAAATGGCTGTAAGTGCAGTTTAATATAATACAAGTATGTAAATAGGTCCATCTGAAATTAATGTAAATATACATATTTTTGAATGGTTATGGAGTCAGATATGAGGCGGGCAATGTTTAGTTTTTTGATAGGTTTTTATCTGTCTCTGTGCAAATGGGTCTGGTTGACATTTAAGCTGGTTGAAATGTACCTCTGCATTTAACCCATCCCCTTTGGGAGCAGCGGGCTGCCATCGTGGGGCGCCCAGGGAGCAGTGTGAGGTTAAGGGTCTTGCTCAGAGAGTGGCAGTCCTAGGGAGGGTGGGTTTCAAACTCACAACCTCAGGATTTCAAGCTCTATGCCCTGACCTCTAGGCCACCACTCCCCCAATATGAGCTGCTGGAGAAAGCAAAGCCCTTAAACTTTATATCATTTAAACATAAATGACAGAATCTTTTTTTTTTCTTTTATCATTGACAGATCAAAATAAATGTCTAAGGGGAACCTATTACTACAGTAATAGTAGATAAACTTAACATATTGAAGGTGTGCAGTATGTAGGTGTTGTCTTTTGTTTTGATTAAAGAGAAGGGCCTTATAAAATCTGTATTTTCTTGTGAATTTTAAAAAGGTTTTTAGATTTCAGATGGTAATAAAAAAACAATACTTTGAGCAAAATCTCTCGGATGTTTTCATGGTTGTATAAAACCGTTCAGGTAGGTTAAAACTCAAAGGTTAGCTTTGTGAACAAGTTAGCACTGGCTAACGCTGAAACGTACCTGTAATGTTGACGTTGTCATTTCATCTCACTTTTCGGCTCTTCCCCACGGCTTTATATTCTTATTCCTCCCCAAAGGTGGATGGTTTATAAAACGCTTGTTCTATTTCTATTGTATTTTAGGGTAAAATAGGTATTTGTGTCATGACCAGAGCAAAGCCTAAGCGTTAGCAACAACAATACTGCAGCCTCTTCTTCTTCTTCTTATGGGATTTTATGGCGGTTGGCAGACTTGTGAATTGTGCATTACCGCCACCAACTGATATGGAGTAAAGCAAGAAAACAGGAAACGATTCACCCCCCCAAAAAAAAAAAAAAAAAAAAAAAAAAAAAAAAAAAAAAAAACCTGTGTAACTTAAACCAACATAATACTAAATCACATTTGCCCATATAATTTTAATTTACTCTAGGTCATCTTAACTCTGCCAGTTTCTGATGGTCCCATCGGTCCTCCCATCATACTTCCAACCATCTCCCAGTTCAAATCTTTAATGTCCAGATATTTTTCTGCAGCCTTCACTATTATTTTGATTTTTTCCGTTTTTTTTGTTGTCTGTGCAGTACAATTAATAACTTCTACCATGAAAAGAACAAAATTTGTCTTTTTAACAATAAGTGAGTCTTCATCAATTTTTAGAGATTTCTCTAGAGGTATACTGCAGCCTCTGACCTCTGACAAGCTGGATGAGACGAGAAAAGCTTCCGGTTGAAGTTTCTTCTTCTGGCAAAAACGTTTGGTGAGCATTACCGCCACCAACTGGTAAGGAGTGTCCGGTTGAAGTTTTCAAAGCGCTAACTGAAAGATTCAAAACAAAGACAGGTTATTATATGGAGCATGGATGCATTTGGTACGGTCATCTATTGTGTTAAATTATCGATGATGAAGACATAATAATAATAATAATAATAATAAATAGATCAGGTTGTGTAAAAATAACTTTGCCGACCTTCGCAGCAGTTTAGTGTAAGTTAGTTACTGCCACCTGGTGGCGGATTATGGATATTACATCTAGATTTAAATGTTATGGAGCTCCCTGAGGATAATGCTGAGTTCTACAGAAACACAAGTATTTCTATGAAAAATTACATTTTTCATTTTTAGCACTTTGCAAATATTTTTAAAGATTTAAATGGACACTTACATATTAATAAAAAGAAGAAAAAACCCCCCCAAACATTTCAAGTTTATTTTAAGTATCCCTTAGTTTTGGACAGTTTTTCAACCCCTCCATTTGGCAATGCATGCTCTATTCCAGTTTCCTTTCAATACATATCGAAGGATAATTGGGCAAGACATTAAGTCTCAAATTACGAATGGGGTACCATTTCAGGTGATGCAACCGGCATATGTTACATAAGCTTGCTCTGTTATCATTTTCTGTTCACTTTTTGTTATATTATTGTGCATTCAATGGTAAATTTCAATGAAACTACGGCTAATCTTAGGAACAAAGGCTTTTCCTTATGCAGAAGGTCTCCAATAATGTAAATCAGCATATTTGTCTGGCCAGATTCCCTTTTATGAGTGGAAAAATGAATTTGGCCACTTTTGGCATCACATTCCCGGCTAGCACACTGCCCACTAAAACCTTCATGTAACTAAAATGTTTTAACCTATTCAGTCTAAATTTGCTTGAGTTGTAGTCAATATGTGGATCTATAAAGGGTGAGTGTTCATTCAGAGTTTCAAATGGGGTTCCAAGGTGTTTTGCAGTTTATTTTGGAAAAAATAAAAATAAAATTGGCGAGGTTAAAAATGTTCTTTTTTGTTTAATCACCTGTAAGTCACACATGATGACATTTAAAATAGTGGTTCCACCTGAAAAATATTCCTCAATGCCTTTCTGTCATACAAACACAACAATTGTATTTTCATTTTATAGTTTGGGAGCTGTACTTGCTTTAATTCACATATGTGATATCAGGCAGAATTTGCTCCTAAAACCCTCTGGTCTTAAAATGAAAGACTACCAACCAACACCAAGGGACATAGTCATACATGTATTATTTGTATTCAATGTAATTAAAGTTGGATATTATTCTCGAGTATCCTGGTCTTCACGGCCTTTTATTTGATTCCCAAGAAGCTGGTCCAATAGCGAATAGTCTACAGGTCTGTTATTTAATCTCTGCTGTTATGTTAAGTTTATGGTTCGATAGAAAACATTAATGAAAGGTTGAAGAGAGTTGTGGAAAATGTTAAAGCAGGGTTAAGTAAATGAAGGAACAACCTAAGCTTGAACATTTTGGAGAGAATGGTTAAATCCATCATCTGAACATGGAAAGAAAACTGCAAACCTGGGAAAAGCCATACATCTGGTGTTTATGAAAGAGCGGCTAAAATAAGGTGATGGTTTGAAACAGGCTCTTTAGAATCTCTTTGTATTTTTGCCCCGAGCTAATTATGTTGAATAATGTTCTGAAATAAGACCAACAAGGAACTTTTTTTTCGTGTAAAAAATTTCAAATGGTGAGAACACTTCTAAAAGTCCTATAACTTGCTTTTTAAAGTCACCTTTAAGAAGATATATGACAAAATGGGTATAAATTAGTTTTAAAATAGTCTAAACGAAGCTGCCTCCCATTGCATGACTTCGCCATATCAACCATTTCGAAAGCTTGAAGAAAATCTGAGACCGAGGGCAAAAATAAACAGATTTCCAGGACTTAGATTAGCTAAAAAGAAAAGCTGCTGCTCTGTGAAAATTAAAGGATAAAAGAGCCACTTGGTCTTATATTTAAGCGCGAAACATTGCGCTGCACCCCTCCTAGATAGAAGGAAGTGGGTGTTTGTTTAAACTGCTGGCGCGGCGCAGCACGGTTAAGGTAGGTGTTTCCTGGAGGGACTTTCACTTTTAAACTGCCCGCTTTCACAGGAGAGGGAGGGGGTGCTGCTCAGACAAAAAAACTCATGACAATTAGTCAGAGATGCAAAAACAAAATACCAATTTCTGCACAAATCTGTTGAAGGAATAGAATTATAAAATAGTTACAAGAAAGAAAAAATAAAGGCTGATTTTGCATGATTCAGGCAATGGATGAGTCTCTGTGTGTGAAATGCTCTGTTGAACACAGTAGGTATTTTAGGAGAAAGGAACCAGAATTCATAAATAAAAATCATTAAAAAAAAACAAAAAAAAACACAAAAACATTTAAATTACAACTGTTTTATTGATAGATATTTACAGATCAGGTAACTACACTGGTATTGTACACTGTATACTGTACTTAGGAAGGTTATCTAAAATACTTTGCAATATGACAATTTGCTGTAGCACTGTAATTTTTCAGTTTCATGATTGTGTAGGACGCAAGCTGCCACAGATAATACCTTTGGTTTCATAAAAACCCCTTCCTTGAAGCATTAATTTGCATAGACAGGAATGCCATGATTTTATAAAAAAAAAAAAAAGACAAAAGGGGTTAAAAGTATACATTCAAAGGTTTAAAGGGGTCTGCCAGGTGAGTGCATCAGTTCAAAACAGGAAAATCTGAAGCTTTTAGAGTAAATGAACATTGTTAAAATCAGATCACAGCTACACAAGAAGACATAAGATCAAAAGCTTCATGGACAATCTTTAATATACCCTCAAATGTAGCAGGAATGAAATTCTAATGAGCAGAATGAGGGAAGTACAGTTTACTTATGCTTAAATTCAGATAACATGAAACTTTATATGAAGAAACAAAAGGATTAGAATAAAGGGAACTGGACAACAATGTGTTTTTACCTTCACATAAAAAGAAATGGATCCAAGAACTTGCTTCAATGGTCCGGAGGTCAATTATTCCAGAATGACCTTATTTCTAAACAAGAGAGTTTTATTTTGTATTTCTCCGGTGCTCAGTGAGCGGAAACAATGGGACATTGTCTGGGGTCTAAAAGGACTGAGGCTCCTGTGAGGGGAAACTTTGGAAACATGAACCTGATTTCAGAGGATGCCAGAGTGTAAATTACAATCATACTGAAGACCGCAGTGTGAAAATCAGCATCCATTGCTGTTGTTTATAACTTCTAAAACCACATTTAACTGTATTCAGCATGTCGACGATCTGCACTTGCACTTCATAGACTGAAGAACCACAACGTCTGTGGTCACAGACAATTTTTAGAAGTAAAAAAACAAATAAATAAATGCTAAATGGTTACAGAAATATCATTTAGATGGCTATTTAGACCTCTCTCTTTTTTTTTATTTATTTTATCTCATATTTTTGAGGGCAGTGGTACACACATTAATCTCAGCTCTGAGCAGGACCAGCCAAATTCAGGTCATATTTAATGCTAGGCTAGTTCCTCTCACTAACTAGACAAAGTACAACCTCTAGCCTTGGTTTTATTTAGGCTTAGTTGACCGCATAATATCTTTATACATTCATTTTCTACATTTCAAAATGAAGAAATTAGAGCTGTAATGTGCTTCCATTGTAATACTCTTGCTAGAAACATTTAAACAAACTTCAGGTAAGATTAGCATAACATAGCTAAATATGCTGGCTTGGTTGATGCTAAAACATCCCAGCTGAGGCAGTTCCAGTTAACAAGGAGGAAATGGGAGCTTGTGAATGTTTTATGATATGGTTAAACATTTTGTTCAAATAAATCATTAACGGTCCTTCTAGACCAAACATAACTTTTATTAAGACTAGCTTCACCAACTCTACTGTGTGATAATTGTTTCACACAAAGCATACCTTGCATGTAGCTAGGTCAATTTCAAATAGTTTACGAAATATTACAGTATAGACAAGCATATTTTAATTTAATTTGCCCATTTTAGATAACCTCTTGTCAATATCTTAAGCATAATTTCTTTGTCGAATTCATAATCAATAAAAATAAAACATTTTTAACCATTTCATTTTAGAAAACATGCTATGTTATGATTTTACTTGAAGACTGTGTGGGCTGAAGCCCCACAGTGGTAATATTTTTACTTCTTTCAATATCTAATTTTGTAATTTGGTTTATCTTGCACTGCTGTTAAACTGTGCACACATACCAGCAATCGAAAGTATTTTCTTTTTTTTTAACATTTCTTTCCTATGTTTAACTTGCCAAGGTGGGGATGCAAACTGTGGGCTGAGAAGGCCTAAAGCTGGGCACCTGCCGTACCATGGACCACTGAACAATGGGGGGGTTGGGTTTAGTCAGTTTAAATGTTGGCTTAAGTTAATTGTCAGTCTTCTTGTTTTCCCCTGTTTGTTTTTTATGTTTGGCCAAATCACTATATACGTTACCCTTCGGTGTCATTATGTTAGGTCAGTTTTCCTTGGTTAAGTTTGTTTTGTGTGTTAATTAAAAGATTCCAAAAAATCGGTTGACCTCTTTAATGTGCTGGCTGATTTTTGGCATTGCTTTGGATTTTGTAAATTTTTTGAGTTAAAGTCCAGATTTTTGAAACTGTTGAAAGGGTTGACTTTAAACATAAACTTAAAGGTATAGTGGAGGATTTTTGCAAACTTTTGAAAAGACCCGCCGTTTCCACTTAAAAAAAAAATGCACACGCACAACCCTGTACCCGCTCCCGAGAGAGGTCGCCAATTAAACATGTAATAGTGTGTGCAGGAGCCCATTTCTCCTCATGCACGCTGTGTTTAAAAGTTGCTGTTTGCATCGCTCATACAAGCTTACTTTCTAAAAGCAGATTTTTTATTTTTCCTCTATGTCAGACTCCCCACCAGTAAGTGAAAATGGGGGTAAGCACATACTGTAGGACGGCCTGACGTAAACATATCACTAGGGGTGTAAATCACACCCATCATGGCGATTCGATTCAGTATCGATTTCCTGACCCAACAATTTGATTATTTTCGATACTCATGAATACATCATATCCTTTTTCCCATGTCTATCTTTCCTACTGTTAAAGCGATTGTGTGTGTAAATGTGGAAAGAAGGTAGTGGCTAAAGGAAGCCAGGTAGGAGGGCAAAATAGGTTTAGTTCCACCACAGCACGGGAGTCAGAATAACATCCAGGAGCAAAATGATAAAAATAGACCGGAGGATAAAAAAAACATGAATCGATACTTTTGCAGACGTGTCGATGCATTGGATCGTTGGCTGTTGGATCGATACCAAACGATTATTTACACCCCTACATATCACCAGAATGATTGACAATTAAGAGGACCACTTATTTTGATGATCCACTTGGAAAAAGAACATCCTCCACTATAACTTTAATAGATTTTTTTATTTTTATTATTCAACAGGACCCTAATCTGAAGCATCTTCAATGTAAAGTTGGACAATCAATCATATTTCATTCCCTTTAGGATGACTACTTGTAGAAGCTAAGCCCTTTTCATTCGTTTATTTTTTTATGTTAATTAAAAAAAAATATATTATAGTTTAGCAATATTTGGTCAATTTTGAAGTTGAAGGTGTAAAATCAGAAAAGATGACAAAACTTACTAAATAAGAGTGCTTGTTTGTATTATCTGAGGCAGAGTTTAAAAAAAAAAATCTATATGTTTCAGTATGAAGCCGCTGTTAAAGTACATTCATATCTATTTCACGTGATACAAACCTGTTGGACAAGTTTTTATACCATCGCTTACTGAAGTAATTTGAGTTAAGTAGGAAACAAAAAATATGAAATTTTGACCATTTTGGACAAATAAACAGAAAAGGAAAATATGTAGAATTTTAGGTAAAGGATAGAGGGTAACAGCAAATGAGGACATATCTGATACAGAGTTTACCATCAGAAAGTCATAGCATCACGATAGACAGAGATATACACATAAAACAAAGTAACATGTATTAATACTATTGCTTGTGCATTATCAAAGCTTCAAACCTGTTATGTGACATATAAAAGGAAACATTATAAAGAGTGTCTTTGACTACAAGTTAAAAAGGCACCAATGGCGATCCTGATTACAAATATAAGGTTGGGATAATGTGCAGACACCTCTAGCCAATAGAAGCATGTAGTATGGAGACACTCAGTCACACCATTTCTGCTCAGGTAACTGAACTGTGACCCTAAAACACACTCCTAACACAGGCTGGCACAAAGACAAACACAAGTTAAAAAAGCCCTGGTGTTTGGGAAGGCTGTTGTGGAATGATAGGCAGAGTATAAAACAGGGAAAACTGACTAGTTTGTGCTTAACTTTGTGTTTGTATCTACAAAATCCCTCCTGACTTCTTTTTTTTTTGCTGTTGCAGTCTCTTAAGTACGTCGTTCACCACATCCTCTCATCGTAACAAGGATTAAACATTGCTCCATGGATTGGAGTGAGATCCTTAAACTCCTACTTTTTCACATGCCAAAGTAGCTTCCTTAATCCTCTTGACCTGAAGCGAAACGCTCATTCCTTTTCGCATCAACTTTGCAGCGCAGATGATTAGAGGCTGAGGGGGAGCTGGAAGGCACATTTCTGTGACGATCAAGAGAGCGACTCATGCTTTAAACTTTCCCTGCAGCGCGTCTAAAGGCCTAACTTCAACTGTCAGTCGAAAAAACATGGGGAGAGAAAAAAAAAATAAAAACTGTAAAAGAAAATCCTTCTGTTTGTGCTGAAATTAGTCGGCCACTTCACGTCAGCAGACCCATGCGGGTAAGCTTGGCTGACAGGAAGGAGTGGAGAACAAACACCACCGGCTTTGGACCCGAGTGGAGGTCGAACACCTGCAGGGGGGGAGGGAGGAAGGAAGGCAGTGAGTAAGACGTTAAAATAACAAAACAATATGAAGAGAAAAAGAGCAGAGATGACAAATACAGGGATGCTAAAGTACAACATGCCTTCATAATAAATCCTCTGTTCTAAAATAAGCTGCTTATGCAAGTAAAATAATGAACATTGTTTTGGTTCCATTGCAGTACAAATATTAAATTATCTTTGATGATTGCTGAAATTATATATTACTCCATCCATTCCTATCGAAGGAGCAGAAAACAAAAATAGCAGAACCATCCACTTATATTAGTTGAAGAAGAAAAAGTAGGTTTAAAACCACATGAAGGAACGAAATCAATGTTTGTGTTGAGCAAAAGAAAAACAATATTCCTAAATTCTTAAAACTAACTGTGAATGTTGCCATATATATATATATATATATATATATATATATATATATATATAAAAAATTGTGCAACATATAATTGTGCAACATATCAGAATCGTTTTATGAAAGAATGTGGTTTACTGTGTTACACATAGTTGGTTTTAGGCCCAGTCCAGTCTGCTTTTTACCAGAACAGAACAAACTGACGAACTTCCCAAGAATGTCTTACCTTGTCCAAGAAATACATCTCCCTCAGTCATAGTCGACTGACAAAAACCTGAAATGTTTAGTCTGTTGCTGATTTTAAAGTCATTTATTCTGCAGGAAGGCTGTTTTTTTTGTTTTGTTTTTTTTACAAGAGTTTGCCTGCAATCCACTAACATTTCAGTAGAAGTTGAAAATAGATTTTTAATACAGTTTATTACATTTTCTGATCATCGTTTGCATACAGATAACAAAGCTAACAAAAAGGAAAAGGCCAGGCCTGGTTTGATTGTAATGGCAGAAGAAAATGTAAGTGATAAGAGAACATGAAGTAAGGACACAAGCCTATTGTCTTCTAATGTTTTCTTTAGACTGAGGTAGTCATAAATCAGTCGTCGCTCTCTGTCTGAGTGGAGTGGTTTGGAAAAACACAGAACCATGGGTGTGAAGTGTTGTCCCAATCTGATGCTTTATTGTAAACAAATGTAATGTAAACACATGACAGATGGGCTCAGAACACAGCAGTGCTAATCCATGATTCCACAAAATGATAAAAAGAATGTTTATTGACTTAGATTAAAGGAGATTAGAAAGATTATTGGTTTAGATTCAATTAAATACGACCCTTCCTGTTTTAATAATGAAAAACCAGGAATATTCAGAAATAATTTTACTTTGTAATTAGATTTGATTGATTTTCAGCCTTTGTTTAAATGATTTAGCTGTTTTTCCTTTTGTTGAACTTTAGTGCAGATCTTGAACATGATCTAACAAATAATTAAAATAAACATTCCATTCTTTTTCTAATAAAGGAACTTGTGCATTGAGGCAGAAATTGTTTGCCTTTTTTTTTAGCCAAGCTGAAATTATCCACATGAAATTTCGAGCTTTTACACCTGCAGGCTTTGTTTTATCTTTTGTTGCTGTCAATGACATCACCTCAGATTAACGAGGGTATAATTGACCAATGAGAGGAGAGAATGCCTCACCATGCTGGCTGCATTTGCTTTTACAAGGAGGGAAAACATTTCAACTGTTTTTTTTTTTTTTTTTAGATTAATTAGATCAAAAAAGAAATTCTATATGTTTATTTGATTCCCCTTGAAGAGTACGGTTAAATATATGAGCCTAGAACTGTCTTGATACAACAAATAACACTATTTTTATTTTACAAATTTTAAACAGTCTTTAATCACAATTAACCATTAAGCTTCTGCGATTGATTGCGATTAAAAAATGTATTGTTAGCATTAGAATAGAGATATCAAAACGAAAAAAGAGAAAGTAATTGAATAAGTGTCCAAGACTTAGCGCTGAAGAAAAGTAAAGCTGTAATAATTTAACATTTTCCTAACTCACCATTTCTCCCTCTGGACCACCAAAGTCAAGGTAAAGGTTGCGTATTCCATCGTCGGCGGACATTTTGAGCTTCTCATAGGGGTACCTAAAGAGCACTGTGCCCCCCGTTTGGTCTGCTGGCTCCCTTGTAACAGTAAAGCCCTTTTCGTAGTGAAGCGTGAGCCGGACGTCCTGTCTGTTCAACGTACAACCTGCCAGAAAGGATAAAAAAAAAAATAAGAACTGTAAGGTAAAACTCCAAAATATTTAAATCCACTTCAATAGACACCAAATACAAGCTCAGGAAAGAACCTTAAAAAAGCTAAATGTTCAGAAAAAGGAAAACATTTCAAAAGTTGAGAAAAATAAGCTTAAAAGAAAAAAAAACACAAAACAACAAATAGGTTGTTTTTCCCAAAAGTCTCCAGACTGACCTGAATATCCAAAGATCAAACAAATCCATATATATACTATTTAGCATATTTTTGGTAATCCAGGCTGATATAAAGCATGAAAACATTTAGTCTATATTAATGCCAGACTCCAAAGAGAAGAGTGTTGTGTGCCTTTTTTTAAAGGTGTATGTAAACATTCGGTTTTCAAAAAATGTCAAAACTGAAATAAAGCCCACAGAAAAATCAAATTTCAATGTAGAACCCAGACAGCCCAGCACAGGCACAGGTAATTTGATCCAAAAACATTTCAGCATGTAACACTGCGTCCCCAATGCCCCAAATGTTTCTACACAACCGTGTGTTTGTGTAGCAGCTGGACAAGGAGGGAAGATAAAAAAAAAGGCAGAGTCTTTCCAGAACTGTTGCGACAGGCAGCTATTGTTCTGCTCCGAGCAGAAACATTCCCTTCTCTTGGATCCTGCCTGAGCTTTTCCCAACACAGAGCTGCAACAAACTGCTTGGCGCAGCTGCTGTCAGGACCTTCCTGTCGCTAGTAAGGAAATCAAAGTGATGACTTCATAGGTCCTAACAGAAAAAAACATCTATAAATGTGAGTTGAAGAAATAAAGCATATGTTACCTTAAAGGACAATAACGGACGTCTGCTAACTACAGGTGAGTATGATGACATGTAAAAAAGAACCCCATCCTGTGGTTAAATATCATCATCCTGCTCCAAACTGTCTGATAAAAACCTCGACCAGACATGGTGTGAAATAACACTGATATAAATGTCGGCTGTGCTGGTTCTGAGGTATTTTGAGGTGCTCCCAAGAGAAAATTTACAGAGACGATGGCAGAAATCATGCTTGAAATCAGAATTTCATCTGATTGTTTCGTGCAAATACTTTCTTTTGCTCTTCTAGCAATACCACCCTTAGAAAATTCTGAGTCTTAGGAAACTTATTAGCTTTCTGACGGATTTCTGATTGATTAACAGCTTATAGGTATAGAGGTAGACTTTTTGTATGTAAGGGCAGAATATATGACAGGTAAAAGTAAAACCTGCTGATGTTTAACCTTCGTTTGGCAGTTAATTTCTGTATCTATTTATGAAAAACAAAAAAAAATGACATAAAATATCGACGATAATAATACCTATAAAAAGAGGACAAGACAAGAAGAAAACAATTAACCAAACTGTTAAAGGTAGAAAAACTGACTAAAGGCAAAGGACCAGCAGGACGTATAAACTTATAAAAAAGCCTCTTAGCTAAAACTTACTACCAATGCTTTGTTTGGTTTCCATACAAGTTTCCAAGCTGGATTACACCGTTTTTTAATAAAGCTTGCAATCTCTTTGTTGTCTTCAATGTGTTAAGAATTAAGCAGAATCCCCTTTGCATTTTAAACTAAGAATTCCCACCTTTAAACATCTGCCAGCATAATGGATGTAAGTGATGATTTAATGGTGATAATCCCTTAATCCTTTCTTTTTATGTTGGAGTCTAAGTACTGCGACCTATCAAAGAATCTAGAGAACATTATCATCTCATTTATTCTATGCATTCCAGGTAAATACAAAAAAGAATGTAAAAGAAAAAAAAACTGGTATCTGCTTGTTAGAGCTGGATTCATCCACATCTAGTCAAACAAAGTATTAGTAGTGTTCAGAAAAAACACTCCAGTGAGATGTTTAATTTCTGGCTGGATCAAGCATAACGTGGTCTTCCTTGACTTGTGCATAAAGCAAGTCAAGGAAGCTGACATCATAATGTGGGGATCACAACTCTGAGATCAAGACTTAAGACTCACTTCCTCCAGAAAAAAAACAAAATGTATAGCATCCAAGATGAGCTACCGGCTGTGCGGTCACTCACCAATAGAGACCTCTTTGATTATCTCAGCTGCAGCGTGAACCCCCTGAACAAGACCGCGTGTCCACGTGGACAGATCCCAGTGAGTCTCCACTCTGAAGATGTGCGACTCGATACCACGCCCGGTGCCGGTCCGAGTGGCGAACACCAGGTCTGAACCGTGGGACGGAGAACCCCGAGCGCTGCCAGAGTGGACCAGTCTGGCAAGAGAGAGAGGAAATCATGTTAAATCACAGTTAGCATAGAGAAAAAACTTTGCAGACAGAGACTCTCAGGTCTCTAACCATGACGGATTAAATGTTGACATTTGCAAGGTTCTTGTTTTGGTTTTTAAATGAGATGAAAAAAAAAACATTTACAGCTGCAGTTTCTCTCCTAAACTAAACAGATCACCCCACCACAACCCGGCATGTCTTCCTGCCACATTTAAGCTTTTTTTTTTCTTTAAACCAATGTGCTTTAATGAATCAGGGTCTTTGCTTCTTCTTGCTATTTGAAAAAAAAAAAAACTTGAAAAACATAATGACGATAAGATGAGGAAATTTGTAAAGCAAATATTTCTATCTAATCAGTTTGAGAGAAACTCAAGACATCAAGAAATGTGCTCTCAAGACACAATCTCAGTTTTTTCACTTTATTTTTGGCTCTGTATTATTTAGGACATCACTGTAACGCTATCTGGGATGGAGCACTTGAGGTGAGGCCGAAATGAAGGACTCTAAAGTGAAAGATCACTTAGCTTGACCTGCTCATTTGTTGTAAACAGACATGGAAAGTCAAAGAATGTTTGCCACTCATGGAAAACATTTCATCCATTAAATGAGATTTGAATTGTTCATGTGAGACATTGAAACGTTATTTGCACTGGGGCTGGGCAATTATTTGCATTTGCAATATAACTGCAATTAGAAGAAAAAACATTGAATTGCAGAGGCACTGAATTCTGGTCATATTACATTTAATAAGTAGCTAATATTCTCTCTCCAGTCCTTTAGGTGGTGGTAATATGCTTCAAGTGGGTTTTTCAACCACACAGTGTGGAAGAGAGAGCAGCTAGGATGCAGATTCATCCATGCAACTAATATTTAGCAGTTTTCTACACAAAGGTCCTTTAACAACAGACTCTTACAAAGCAAGCTTTAAAGGTCACGAAAAACCTGAAACCCCGTAGGGAAACATTTACATGGCTGCTCTGACTGCAAAAGAAACTCAAAATAAAATCACAATTGTAATATTGGTTTAAAGTAATTGCAATTTTATTTTTTGGTAAAATCATTTAGCCCCAATTTGTACTAATAATGATCCTCCTATTTTCAACACAATACTGGTTAAAGCTACTGGTTGGTTCCATATTATTGGCAGGCTGAGAACAAACCATCACCAGCAGAGCCTTCCTGATCCTCTCTATGAAAGACGACTGAAGCAAAGTTTTTTTGTTGCCCTTTCTCATCAACGCGGCTGTGATTCACTTTAAATTTTTTAGCATGTTTTGACAGAAGTAAAACTAGTCAGCATTATACTATAAATACAATGACTAAACTTAGAAAGCAGAACTGTTCAGAAAAATGTGAGATTGAAATTAGGCTCTCTCACTATTCATCATAGGAAAATTCGCAAAAAAAAGTTTGCTGGTCTGTTTCTAAATATTTACTCACAATTCGTAGACAGTCGAAAGTAACCTTGCTAACATTTTACAATAAAATAAACATTCTCTAAAAATATGCTGCAATAGAATTGAATAAGCTCTTTAAATGATCAGAGCATTTATTAGCATAAGTTCTGACTTAAGTAAACATTAACACAAAATTACCTTACTTAAAGCTACCTTTGATATAAAGCTCAAGGAAAATTAACTGACAGAAATTTTGTAGTAAGTCCTTACAGCTGCTTACTTGTCACCAGCTGCCAAGGCAAATCATTATCACCTGCTCATCATACTTGGCAAAGTTTCAAGCCGATGCCAGTCCTGCCATATCCAGGATTCAAACCAGGGTCCTCTGCATAGCAGCCAGAGACTAAGGCCCCGTCCACACGAAGTCAAAACGAACACGAAACGCTGATATTTTCCAAAACGTTTGCCGTAAAGACGGAGACGTAAAATAAATGTGAGCGTCCACACGAATGCATTAAAACTGTAAGTGGCGCTGTGGTGCCAAAGCAAAAATAAGCGACGAAATGTAGGGCATGCGCACTAATATTTATACATGGTTGCCCTGCGGGTCTATTTTCGTGGTTAAGTCAAATTCAGGTGCTGAACTATGTGGTCGATATTGCTCTGTTCTTCCTGGAGATATTCCAGAAGAAGAAGATTCTGTTGTAAGCCCGACCAGCCCGACAGCAGGGTGAGTAGCATTAGCAGCAACGGCGCCATTGTTGTTGTGATGTGTCGCGCTTGCGTGTTTAGAGGCGACGCTATGACGCATGCGTGTAAAAAAAAAAATGCGGTTAGGGTGTAAAGATGGAAACTCGAAAACGGCGTTTCAGAATCTTCCCACTCTGAAGGGTGAATAAAAAAATGATCGTTTACAGACCCCCGAAACGCCGGCTTCGTGTGGATGGGAGGCTGGTTTGGTGAAAAATTTGTGCGTTTAGGCCAGGGTTCGTCTTCGTGTGGACGGGGCCTAAGGCAGTTTTCACACCTGATAGTTTGGTAGACTCAGGTCGATTAAAGACCAAAATTGCCACATTTGAATCATTTTCATTTGGTGCGGTTTGTATTTACAGTTAGGGTGACCAGACGTCCCCGATTTCCGGGGACTGTCCCCGTTTTGGACCACCTGTCCCCGGCTAAAGCTGTCCCCGGAAATGTCCCCGATTTTACCGAGGCGAAAAATGTTGCGTGTAGACTGTTATTACGGTAGAGCTGTTGCGCGCAAAAATAGGTATTACGGTAGCTGGTTGCGCTGCTGATAACATAAAGATAAGGAACAGAGCGCACCACTAGAAGGGCGGTAAATTATCCTTTTGGATGTTAGCTGCCATTAAAACACAAAAAAGAAGAAGAGCGCATCACTTTTAAAACAGAAGAAGAAGAAGTGGAAGTTCGTTTTTTACAACCTGTGGCAACTGATGGGGAGCTACGCTGAGTGATGGTAAGTGTGTTAATCAATTTATTTTATTCTGATCGGGCTGATCTTGTGATAAATGTTTGGTTTGTGTCCAGGTTAAAACAATAATAAAAAGTAAGACAAGACCACGAGTTGAGCCTGAGTAAAAGACGCTGGGTTAAAATGTAGCAAAATGATTGAAAACTCCTTGTAAGGCGCTAATCTGGTACGCTGGTTCTCCAGGGATCAACAAGGGTTTGTATCATGGGCGTAGGTTTGCATAGGGACCATAGGGACATGTCCCTACCAAAGTTTTGAACCGTCCTAATTGTCCCGACCAATAATTGGATGTGAGCAACATGTTTATAATTTACAGCAGTGGCTCTTTTCCTCTCGCAGCTCCTCTCTTGGATTATATACATTGTGTTGATGTTAAGCTTATTCTGCTGTTCAATGGTTAAACTTGTTTAAGATATTTAAAAAGGTTATTTTGCTTTTTACTTGCTATGTCTTCTCTTATATTATTTTACCCAAATTACCAGGGCCACTGCCTCAGACCCTGTTCAGTTAATATTTCTGTTTCAAACATTTAAAATGTATAATATGTATTAATAAAGTTCAAGTGATAAAGCGTTGACATGATTTGAGTGATAAACTAACATATTGAGCGATGTAGTGTGCAAAGTATGCTGTGGAACACAGAGTGGCTGTATACTCAGGTTAGTAGGAAAAATGAACCTGCTACTTTGAGACACACAGGCCCCTGATGTGGCTAGGTGACAGTAAGAAACATATATGAACCTTTACCTGCAGGCTTGACTACTACTTGTTTTTTTTTTTATGTTAATGAAGAAAAAAAAATATTTCTTATAGGTATGTACAGTAGATGTAAACAGAATAAGTATTTGTTGCACTTTTTTGAAGAGGTGGGGAAACTGTCTCAACAGACAGCCACAGGCATAGAATAAATATTTGTATTTACTTTTCTAAATTTCTTTTCCTCATGTCACTCTCCCCTTAGGAGGCGGCAGAGCTCTTTGAGCCCAACAAAATTGGAAAGCCCTGCTAATGACCCTTGACCCCTCCGCTCCCACCCCCACCACTTTGACCCAACCCAGAGACACAGTTCTAGTTTTCTACTAATAACACTATTCATGTTATTAATCTTAGGATACACTAAACGTTTGGAAAGGCACATTCCTGGCTTTTACACTTGATTTTTGTTGTTTAAATATTAATAAATATGTAAAAATATATGAAACCATTACTGTCCCCGTTTCCTAATTTCATCTCGATAAGATGTATTGATTTTTATCCACGAGCAAGAAATGTCCCCAGATTTGATTTCAGAAATCTGGTCACCTTAATTTACAGGACACTGTCAAACCGGAACAAACCTGTTGACCCATCTGTTTATCCCCTGGCCTGCGGTGGCGACGCACCGAGAACCACTATAGAAAGACAGTTGGTCAACAACACAAAACTACCTTCTTGTAGTTTTCTGTATTTGTCAAAAACAAAGCAGATGACCGTGGAGACCATTTTAATTTTTAAGTATAACCAGGTCAGGTGAGACAGCTCCAAATAAGGCAGCGAAGTACAAGAACTTGCAAATTACACCTAATTGAACTAATTCAAGACTGCACAGGCAGCAAGGTCTAATTGATATTTGAAAAAACTCAATTTGTTATTACAGTACAATTACAGCTTTTGGAGGGGTCTCCAGTCTGCTTGGCATTCATATCTCTATTCACACAGCATCAGAGTTCACTTCAGCCAAGCCGAGATTTAGGTTTGAGGCAAATCAGAGTTCGCTTTTTTTGTCTGCATCAGAGTTTGATTGCATATTCATGTACCTCCCTAAACAAATCAAACTTTCTGGCCAAAGAGTGGACTAAGCAGGGCTGGTGTGTATACACTCTTAAACCACTACACAATGGGGGACACCTGTTAACCATTGAGGCCATGGTTTAATCAGGGACTTTAAAATATTCCTTGCTCTCTGTTGGATAATAATTCAAATTCAGAGTTGGTTGTTTTTACCTGGTGGCAAGCAGCGGGTGTGTGAGTAGAGGCATGGACCAGGACTCTCTGCTCCACGGCACCGATTCAAACAGCAGGATGTCTTTTTCCGTCAGTGCCATGACCACCGGCCTGAACTGCTGCCGTCCGCCCTCCAGCTGAATCTAAGAAAAAAATTCAAGATGAAACACTGAAGCTAATAAACACAAAGAGGAGCTAAAATCCCCAAATGATTTTTATTTCTAAGCCTTTCCCTTTATTCTTGAGGTTTTTATTAGCTAAATAAATAAGGAATAGATAAGTAATGTTATGAGGATGATTTAAAATGTTTCATACAAAAATATATTAGGAACAGATTTTTCTGGCTTGAGACAGAAATAAATGACTTCTTTTTTTTTTTACCTTGGGTCTAAAGAAAACAGTTGCAGACATGTGGCTGGTTTTAACCACAGCAGTTCTACAAGGTACTTCCATGCTTTTTAAATAGAACGAATAAAGAGCTGGTTTCCTCTCAGTCAAATAATATGCTTCATAAAAATAGATTGGAGGCTGATTTCATAGTTTTACAATTATAACCAAGTACTGTATGTCAATTCTAAAAATTAATTCAACGTCAGCCGAACGGGAGGAAATGAAGTGTAAATTCCCTCATATGTGTGAACTGCTTATAAGGAAAATATGTTACATGCATATAATAAGGCTTTTTGGGGGTTGATAAAAATTAACATTGCGCTGTATTTTTATGGAAATTGAAGTTCTTTCTCCAAGTGACAACGAGTTATCCTTATCCCTATAAGGTGATCACCTAGGGATTTGGGGATGAAAGTTTGATATAAAATCTTTGGTTGCCACCAGATTGATAAATTTTTATCAGCTGATTTTATCAAGAGAAAACAAACTTATGGTTTTACAGCCACTTCAAGCATTTAACATGCAGAAGTGAGTAAAGGCTGATTTATACTACTTCGAAACTAGGTCATCTGCGTAGGTGTCGTCGTGAAAGCAGAGAGGTCCCTGCCCCGTCCCCAGTAGGTGACCGCAGACAGGAGGCATCTGATTGGTCAAATCTGAATTTGCACTACACTATGCATCTCCTGTTTGGTACCTTACCGACTTGCTTTGTATATATGACCGCGGAAAACGACTCTTGAAGTTGGAACAGCTAGAAAAGTGAGATGTGCGAGAACGCTGGGACCCTTTTTCAACCTGGATCCCCGCTCTTTTTCGCCCTCATGTGCCTACGTTGTCGGACAAACTTGCCCCCACTTCCTAACCGCCTCGGCCGTATCTCGACCCACAGCTAGTACGTGATTTTACCCTTTTGTGTTGTGGCATGAAATAAACATAGCACAGACTACGCTTCAATATTGAGCATTAATCAAAAATGTCTGTGTCATACCTGCGACAAGCTCACTGTGACACACTGCGGGAGTATAACCAGCCCTTAAGTCTTCCCTGGTGCAGACAGAGCATCTGCATAAATTAGCAGGAAATCAATGGTGTGTTCACCCACCCACCCCGCCACGAGTTCCCATTCAGAAAAAATAAAAACCAACTTTGCATTTTGTGTTCAGTATGGCTGTTGCCATAAAATGTAGCAACTGTTGCATACACACTAGGGATGGAACGGTTTATGAAAAACCGCGGCTCCTTTTTTTCATAGACGAAGCGTCTACACTCCAGAGCAGAAGGTGGCGGTACTGCGACCAAAGCCAACCACCAGTAGTAAACAAGAAGAAGAAGAAGCGAAGCAGCTTAGCCGGGTGTACCAGAAAAATGGCGAGTGGGAAAGAACAGGAGTCGGAAGACGCGCCAGCAGCACTTTATAGGTCTGCTGTATGGGACAGCTTTGCATTTAGAGGGACCTACGATGACGGCGGAAAGAAAGTTATGGATAAAAACAGTGTGCAAGCATTGTGCAACACGTTTTGTTTATGCTAACAGTAACACGACCAACATCTCAGCCTAACTATCAACATACACCGAACCGAAAACCGTGACCACGAAACCGTGAACCGAACCGTGGATTTTGTGAACCGTTTCACCCCTAATACACACACACATACATACAGAGACAAACCTTTCATACATCTTTGTAAAATCTGTATTTGTCATCACGTGGTGTGTCTCAGTGCATAAAATAAAGAAAGATAAGCAACTTCTGCTAAGAATTTAGCTCTAAAAAGAACGGAAAGCGTAACTGCTTCGAAAAAAGCAGTTACAAAATTGTCATCTTGGGTCTGAAATCATAACTTGATTCAGGTAAAAAAGTGAACTGGGTAGTAGTATTAACTGAATACCTGCTTTATCTGCATTCATTACCACTGAACCAAATGAGGGAAAAATACGTTTAAGTGGAGGGTTTTACTTGGTTTTCCTGGAGATTGCATTCAGTTTGCTTATCTTCATATCTTACCAACATGCAAAGCAGACAGGGCATCAGTATGACGGAGCAATGACGGCAGCTTAGTACCATCGAATATCAGACCACCAGTGTCTGATGAGAGATTTTTAAGCAGCTGTATTTTTTGCTAAAACGCATCAGTTTATCTTATCACACTGCAATGGGACATTTCCAGCATGTTTTATGGGTGAGAAATGACAACTAACACAGACTGAACTGAGAAAGCACAACTCTTCAGTTTAATGTGAGCAAATCTCATGTACTCTTTAATATTCGAGGAAAAAAATTGTGCTTCTCAGACTAGAAGTGACTGGTTTCCTTCTGAACTTGATATGCGTAATAATCATACCAAGTTAAATAAATGAATTGCTTTAGTTTATAGGAAAAATCCAGTTTTCCACTTCCTGTAGTCAATGAGTCATCACAAATAAAAGTTTTTGTTTTTTTTTATAAATCTGCTGGGTCAGTCCTTTTCTCTATTTGAACTCTTAATGCCTTGATCTTTTTTATGCTGCTAGAACTGAAGGTTGGAGTTTTAGAGTATTGTGCTTCTGTTGGGTTTTCAAGTTAAGGGGAATTGCAGGTGACTAACCACAGACTTACACTTAGACCAAGTCTGTGGTTGGAGTGTGAACATCTCAAACTCTTCTCATAAGGGGACAGATCTAAGGCTTTTTCCATATACCTTCATGCCAAGTGTCATCTGATAAGTGAACATCATCCAGGGCATTCTTGCTTCCCCATAAAAATTAGCTCTTACTATGAAACCGGGGCTGACAAAACATTCTCTTCAGAGGGTACCATCTCAAAGTACATTTCGATTCTATTCAACTGTGCCACCATCGAGCAACAACATCAAACCAGTAGGTTTGATTGTGGGGTGCGTGCTGCTTTACAGGAAGTAACGTAATGTGACGGAAACTTCCCTCTGTATTTCCTGTCGTAGCCGTGCCAAGATAAACACAACAACACATGCATTCATTCACTCTGGGCCTGAATGAATGGTTTAAAGTGAAAAGATATGAACGCAGGTATCGTTCCTGTAACCACTTCAGAACAAGCCCTGATTTGGTCGCTATGTTAGAATTTAGAGAGTTGGTTAGTTTTGAGAAAACATGCTCTTCCTGTGCATTTAGGTTGGAGGAGAAAAGTCTCTCTGTATCTCAGAGTTCAGGGTAGGTGCATTTAGAAGTCTAAAAAAAAAAAAAACTAGACCTAAATACTATTGATGGCATATCTTTTTTCAAAGCTAACAAATCTTGTATTATTGTGTACAGTTTGGCTGAAAACCTCTACCCCTATTCATGAGGAATAAAAAAAACATGTTTCTTTGTTTAATGCTCAATATTTGATAGCTTTATTTGTTGGATCTAGATGTAAAACTAATTTGTTTTTGTTGTTTTAAAGGAAACCTAAATCTATAAGGCAGACCACAAAGAAAAACAGAATTCACGGCCAGGCACTGTAATTCTATTCTATGTATTACTAAGTCTGCCTTGATTTTATTGCATTTCAGCACATAAAGATGTGCTGTCATTTAGTATTTCCATATAAATGAAAATATCTGAAAACTAGTTAATCAAAGATACTCTTTTGCATCAAGAACTGATATAAAATTACCCATTTGGGTAGAGATAGACTTCCAAGGTATGACGTTCTGCACCACACACAAATAACGAAGGAAAACATTAATCAGCTGATAGCTCAGTCAGTAAAGTCTGGATCAGTTCTCCTTTACAATTGAAGGAAAAGTTTTACAAAAAAAACAAACAAATAAAAACTGCATGAAAAGTTGCCAGAAAGGCAGAAGTCGCACAGGTCTACTGTTAAATACATGTGCTTGGATCAAATCAATGTTTACACAGTAGAAACATGCACCAGATATATATATTTTGTAAAGACACTTTATTTTGGTGCAAGATGATCCTTTAAATCTCCCATAGCAGTAACATTTATTTGTATTACCCATGGATGAAATTTTGATTTCAGAAGTGGGGGTGGGGTGCCTGCAAGTATTTGTTAATATAACTCATATAAAAGTTAAATAAATCTTCTGTTTCCTCCACTTTTAGTTACATTTCTGCAATTCCTCTCCTGACAAAATGTATGGATGGATGACATGAACAATTTGACAATTTGGGGTGCAACAATCTATCTAGATTAAAAACAGATAGTTTTACAATTATTATGAGTTTGGATATATAAAATCATATACATAGATTGTATTTTTAGATGTATCGTTTGATGATAATTAATATATCTGATATAACAACCCTTCTAGATTTTGTGACTCAATGGGGAGATAAATTCCTAACATACAATAGCAGATTCCCTCATGTTCTGTTGTCTTTCGCCTAAACTCAGGGAAGTAGGCTTCAGCTTGAGCTGCGGTATTCTGCTTGGTCCCAGTGCTCGACTTGCAGCGACTTTTTGTATCTCTGTTTCTGTCTCCTTTTACCCCAGTCGGCCTCGGCAGATGGCCGCTCACACTGATGGCCGCTCACACTGAGCCAGGAGGTTTCTTCCTGTTAAAAGGGAGTTTTTTTCTCTCCACCATCGCTACAAGCATGCTTAGTGTGAGGGATTGCATTCGAGTCAATGAGTCGATGCAATCAATTGGTTTTCCTTAGATAGAAAACTTTGAATCAATTAGACTGTATGATCTGGTGAACTGTAAAGGGCCTTGAGATGATATGTGTTGTGAACTGGTGCTATGCAAATAAACTGAATTGAATTGACAGTAAAAAGTGCAGGGGACCAAAACGAAAAAAATGTCCCATATGTCCCCCGTCCAAAATTATGTCTTTAGTAGTGACACAATCCGTTATTACAACATACAAATAAAAAAAAAATTATCACTGATTAAAAGCACACACTGAGATGTGAACACTTATGTTTTAGCATCTACTTGTCTCTTTCACCACAATTAATTAAGTTAAATTATTTTGACATTTTATTTAACAAATGGAGGCATTAAGACATGAGTTCAGAGCCACCAGACTGTTCCATCAGCTTTGCTCATTGGTGAAGCTCCTCCTCCAATCTACCTAATTTAAGATGATTCAGGACGCTGCTGTGTCTTCAGGGAATGCTGCAGTGCTACTGTGTGAAGCTAATTCGTTCTTTACTTCAATAAGATCCCAAAGGCGAAGCGTTTTTCTCGGTTTAGGGATCTTTCTCCAATGCATGTAATTCAGCATCAGCTTGTTTTCGTGCCAGATGGTGTTACACAATGACCACGGTAAAGAACAGAGGGGTGTGCATTCAACCAAATGCCAAATCAAAGCTTTTCCCTTGAGGATTGTTTTGAAACAAGTCATTTGATCTATTTTACAGCAGATGTCATGGAGTCTGAAGTAATTCATTTTACTTTAGGGCATCATCTCTAAAAGCCAGAGGGTAGTATTAACCTTAATATACAAACTGAATATACAAAAATTGAATAAAAACAAATTTACTTGATTCTTATGAGAAGTATGACTGGAAAGGTCAAAGTAGTTAATAAGAAAGACACTGATATGTTTATTATTTTTTTTTTAATAGCTTTTCCCTTAGTTAATTCTGTTTCTCCAGAATATCTGTTGTTTTTAGGGCAGCTGCAGCTTGATCAGAAGTAAAGGTGTATAATAGGTTGGCGAAGCTGCGTATCGTACCTGTTCAGCCAACCAGGCAATGTGTTTCAAGTGGGGGTGTGTGGAGGCTGTAGATGACGCCCCCAGGTAGGCGTTGATGTGTGCCAGGGTCTGTGGCAGGAGGGCGGCTATGTTGGTGTGTATGGCGGTGAACCAGGCGTTGGCAGAAGCTCCATCTTTGCAGCGTAGCACCACGGTGTGCTGGCCATCCGGGGAGTGCAGCTCCAGCAGCCTACATGGAAAAGAAGGAATTAAAAAAAGATAATGAGGGGAAACTGTAAAAATTTAAAAGCTTCTTTTTTCCCCCCCTTGCACTTTCATAAACTTATGTTTTAATTTTACCCCAAACTTTAATGAGAATGTTAGCACCACTACAGCAAGAAAAACAGGAGAAAACATATTGATGGGGACTAGAGACACATTTCCATTTGGCTGACTTTCCTCACTATTAGAGACATTTAACCATCCATCACTTTAATCTTTAATGCTTGCACATTTTCTTTGCATTGAAGCCACTTTTTTTCCCCAAGCTGTAGGCAAAACAGTCCAACACAGCGGTGAGGAGGCTGATCCAGTGATTTATCTTCCGCATTTTAGATGAACATGTTCATAGGAGGCCGTGGGTGTCCTGCTAGTAATGTCTGTTAAAACAAACATTCCAATCTAATGAACATGAGAGACACACACAGGGACCAATCCCACACCCAGCCACACCTAACCCTCCCACATCCTCAGGTATTTCAAACTAAGCATAACAACAAACCTGTTCTCTAGATCAGGCATGGTGAGGTTCCTGCTGATGAAGCACATCTTCAGGCTGATGACCTTCCTATCTTTGGATGTGGACGATGAGCTGCTGTGTTTGGGCGACCCAGAGTCCTCGCTGCCGCTGTAGCTGGGAGACTGTGGGCGGATGCCGTCCCACGGCAGGTCGGCCACCAGGGACGGCTTCTTGAAGAGCGGCGACACCTCGCGGATGTATTTCACTGAGGACGGGTGACAGAATACGTAGTTCAGCCAACATGCAGGATATTTTAGTTATATGGGTTCATATTTTCCAAGATAAAAATGCATTTTTTTTTATTTCTTTTTATCTTTATTCCCATTATCTGTAACAAAAACTATTCCCAAATGGAAATGATAGTTTTATTAAGACAGTTTTTATTATGTGAGTCTGTTAAACCCTAATAATGCCTGCTTGTTAAGTATAAAAACTAATGGTTTCCCAAGCAGTTTATCTAATTAAAGCAGTTCTTCTGTACAGTTATCATATCAGAGATTTGGAAATGAAAAGCGGGCAAAGACTGGATGTATCTTTCTTAGCAGCGAGTTCTCTGTGCCGTTATCCAGAAAGCTGAGTTATAGTATGATATGGCTGGAACTAGGGGTCCAAACATTGACAAACGTGTATAATGTAATGATGTGATGATGAGGCATGGTGTGATACTGGAGATTGGTGATTACCATTTAAAAATACTATTGTACCAGTGGATGAAGAACATGATGCTACATTTAGCATAGATATCAAAAACAGAAGCAAAAAAAAAAAAGACTTGTTTTTTGATTTGGAATTCCAGACACCATGTAGCCCAGTAGGGGGCGATATAATGGGCCCCTGTAGGCCCCTGAGAGGCTGAGGAGTTACCTGAGCAATAGCATCAGTAGATTAAAACAGATAAAGATTAAAACCATCCAGGACACTGGACCCCAGGGACACACGCTTACCATTACCATACCATGGATGGTGAGTTACAAGAGAAAGTACTTTAATCATTTTAGTTCATCAGCATAAGCCTTTTTAAGCCAAAGAAATGTGAATACTGACAGACAGCAGAGGTACAGGTGTAGTTTGACCTATTTTGGTGGTAACAGCTGGTTAATACAGAGGCGGGATGCTATAGACAATCAGCTATCAAGTCTTTCAACAATTCAAGGAAATTTCCAGTGCTCAAAATAGGATTACGATATCTGCTGTTGCATTTCCCTGAAGTCATAAAAAGAGTAGAGTGTGCAAGCGAAGAAAGCCTAGAAGAAAAACAAGTACAGATGTGAGCTGGACCCGTTGGCTGTTTGTACAATAAAAGGGGGGCTTTTGCTCTGATGTGAAGGATTCATTTTCCAAATTTGGTACTGCAGCCTCCCGTCCCCTCGGCGGCCTCACTGCTATCCCCCCTTGTCTCCCTCCTATGCACGTAAGCATTATCTCCTCATTGTTTCCTCCTGTGTCAGGGTCTTATTCTCTCCTAGCAATGATGGGAAAAACAGGGCAGAAACATTTCTGAGTGAGCGGCTGAGTTGGACGATGAGACCGTCTGCTCTGTGTGAAACCTGAGACAACGCTCTGAGGAGATGAGGTCATTCTTCAGAGTGGAGCGAGATATTCAATTTGAGAGTGTATGCTTCAAAAAGAGGGAGGTAAGTTTCAAACCAGAAAGAGGTTCAGATGAGACGGAAAGCTGTAAAACAGCACTCTAAATAAGTATTTGCTCCCCTCGAGGTTAATGCTTTGACACTCGTTTCCAGTTTCACCATTGGGACATAATCTAAATAAAGAGAAAATGCATTATAGTGAACATGTTATTCATGAAAAAAAAAGAAAGTTGAGTTCAATTTTACAAGATACACTTAGTGCTGACTGTCCCTCCCAGATTTGTAGAATCAAGAAACCACCAAATAGATCCTGCAACACAACATAAAATAGGCCAAAAGATCTCCCAAAGCAACAGATCATGGCCTGGACCTAAACAAATTCAAGAATGGTTAAGACACAAAATCATAAACATCTATTAGTCTACAGAAGGGGGCTGTGGTAAACCCCAGTGAGAGCCATTATTCACAGATGGAGGAAACATAGGCCGGTGGTAAACCTTCTAAGGAGAAGCCAACCTATCAACATTACTCCAAGAACACATCAAATAATCACCCAGAAGGTCTCAAAAGAACCAAAAACAGCACCGAAATCAGGGTTGCTCAATTCCAGTGCTCGAGGTCTGATGTCCTCCACCTTTTATAAGCATCTGTGCTTCAACACACCAGGGTCAAATAATCAAGTCATTAGCAGGACTGCATGCTAAAGAGGTGTGGAACAGAGACACATCCTAAAGGTACTGGGGATCCAAGGCCAGAATTGAAGAAGTTCTGAGAATTTAAGTTTTTAATGTGGTGTTCACACTGCAGGCCTTAAACTCAATTTTGATATTTTTTTATTTAAATCCAATTTTGTGTAGTAATTCACATTTCTAAACATATGCGACTTGTATCTGATCTCCTGTGTGAACTGTATTGATACAACTTAACTGCATATGCAATAGAGAAGGGCAGTAGCGTCACAAGTAGCGAGCGTGTTCTGCGTTTACGTAAGTTAACATACATGTAGTGCTTGAGCGCATGTAGTGATCTTACATTTATTTACACCCAGGAGCCAGCGCCTTAACAAAGCAATCTTTTCAAGAAGATCAAAAGGAAAGACTGCTCTCTGCATTATCGTCCACCATAGTTGTTTTTCTCCCCGCTGCTGAATTGTAAGATGCAGAGCAGGGAACTTTATTGAGTATTTATTAGGTTCTGGTCAGATGAATGCGACCTGGCTGTTCAGACACAGGTTGCATTTGAAAAGATCAGATATGTATCGGATTTAGGACCACATGGCCAAGTGGCCTGGGTTGCATTTGAAAAAAAAAATGGATCTGTGCATTTCAGACCATCATAAACGAAATCAGATACATGGCCCATATGGGCAAAAAAAAAAAAAATCGGATTGGGGTCACTTCAGGCTGCAATGGGAACAAGAAATACCACTGAAAAACAGAACAGATGAGACTAGAGTAGAACTTTTGGGAAGTTGTGCATCCAGTAAATCTGGCATAAAACTAGAAGCATTTAAAAAAAAGGTAAAAACAAGAGCAAACCATAGTTTCTTGAAGAGCTGGAAAACATTATGTAATTGAGGGAAAAGTTTAGGAACTTAAGATAAAACTTTGATTGGTTATGAGGCAAGGCAAATATCTGAACCACACCAGCAAGTCGGATTTGGCCTTTTTTTTTTTAAACCTGAAGAGTTGTCTCTGGAAAGGGTAAAAAATCCAGTTATTTGGTTTGTTGCTACAGCACATGAGGCTCGATTAGCTTAGACCACTTATTTTCCTTTAGGAATAAAATAATTTTTAAACTGTTTTATATTTACTTGGGGTATCTTTGTTTGGAAACAAAAGTGCTGGATGAATAGACACACTTCAGCATTGAAAAATAAAAAGTCCTTTCATTTTCTTTTGTTTTACAACTACATCTTAAAACACAAATCTGCACCCCCGACCAAAAAAAAAAAAAATACGTTTGTCCCTCCTTTTAATGATTAAAAGACAGGCTTTACATTTTGTCGGTGCAGTTTTTTTGACGTTCTGACTGAAAATAATGGAACTGACGCTTAGCGTCACTTATTTTAAAGCTATGATTTACTTTTATAATGTGCATCTAGTCTGTTTCATCCTCAGAAAATTTCAATGCTAGGATTTCAAGAGCCTTTCTGATCTTTGATTTTGGGACTTCTTTTAGCTGGCAACCACAGCATTTCCTGTCTTCACCTTGGTATCTAGACTTCAAAGTAAAAGCATACATTAAACATTGTAAACATTACAGAGGGTTTCTTATTCACAACTCATCCACACAAAACCCTGCGACATTTATGGTAATGTGCAGCTGTATAATGACACAAAGCATTGAAGAACTATTATAATCAATGCAAAGTGTAGTCTGGGTTCTGCAGTCACTAGTATTTTAAGGAATTACTGATTTCTGGACTTTTCCAGCTGATGCTCTTCTTGACATCCATAATTTCCCAATAACTGATAAGCAGAACCTAATGGCTATAATTGGTTCCAATGTATCGTAATATTTTATTTCCTACTCAATATCCTAATCATAATATTGTTTATTTCACTTATTTTTTTTCTATTCCTATGTCTGAGGTTTGTTCTTTTTTCTTATTTTAAAAGGACGACAAATTTCTACTAATGTTCCTTCACAAACAAATGTTTGCCAACATTGTTTAATTGGCTGAATTTGAAGCTGCAAATATTGTGCCCATTTTTATTTTGGCAGAAAATCACTTTTTTTATCAGTTCAATATTAAACTGTAATATATAAGTTTTAAAAAGGAAAAAAACAAAAACAATAGTTTTTTTCATTTTGGAAATTTGTTTTTAAACTAAAAATAAATCAAACCAAAACACAGATAAGGTATCAACACTTTTTTCATACATTTTTAAGCCAAGAAGCTTATTTGCATTTTAAAGTTTTTTCAGAATGTGAAATGGTGCTGACTGGTGTTATTTAGTGTTTGGCTTTTGCTGACACAGCTGTGAGGTACAGCCTGGTAAAAAGCCTGGAAACCACAATGATGTTTGAGTATACAGTAATCAGTCAGAAGACAAAGATCAATCAATAATCTGCAGATGCAGAGGAGGCTGCAGTGTGCATAAGCCCCCGTATACGTCCGTGTACCTTATGCTATGTATGACTCAGAACACAAGACTGGGTGGGGAGGAAAGGAAAGGAGGAGGAAACGAGCCAAGGCCAACCATCCTAACCACATCACCCACACCAACAAGGAACGGGAGTTTTTCTGCAAACGTAAGTGTTTTGGAGTGAAAGTGTGAAAGCTTTCCTGAACAGCCGTGTTTATGTTTGGGGGACACCTCTATCGTCTCTCAAACCCTAAAGCAGTTTCACAATGAATCCTGGTTCCGATTAAAGAGAAAATGAAAGCACTCCAATCCACCCCATACTCTCTTTTTGGTTATATTCTCCTTTCATTTTTTGTTTCCACTTCCAGATGTTCAGATTCTCTGTCTCCACATTAACTATGTGAGGTCATATATGTTGGTAGATGCTGATAAATTTATACTTTTGACAAAACACATTTGGACACTTTAAATCCCTTAAATTAAAATTGATTTTTATCTGATGTCAAGAGACTTTGCCTGCCGCT